GTCCTCACTCCTCATTTGTTGAAAGGCGCACTTCTCATTGCACGTGCCCTTGTAGATACTATTCTTAGTACGAGTCTAACATGTATTTAAGCTAGCCTACGCTGTGGCCTTAGACCCCAGCTTCGGCTAAGGTTATATACTCCTAACTCTTACAAGCTCCTTGCTTTTGCTATAAAGTGACGCCTAACTTCTTGCAATCTACCAACGCCTCTCTAACACTGAATCACCAAATGCGAGTGACAGGATAGAGACCAGCTTTGGCGAAGGTTCGAGTTAGTGCTTAACAACTGTTCACTTCCCAAAGGATCACCCAAAATATGGTGGACTGAAGTTCTCTGCTAAAGTACTGGGTCGTTTATCTTTCCTGGACTGCGAAATCCTAGAGCCTCCTGTGGATCAGTCTTCCCCTACTGTGCCTACTCCTTCCTGCACAATGGCAATGCTGACTCCGTTCAAATGAACCAAACCTACATGGCATATCTGGCATTGTCGCCTAGGTCACCCTGGTCAGGATACTATGACTGAGGTGATAAATGGAACCGCTGTCACTGGTGTTGTTTCCCATAGTCTGAACACGAAACTTGTCTGCCCTTCATGCCTGATTGGCAAGCATCCTCAGCATCCTTACGATCATAATGGTCACTGTGCAGAGGACGTGTGTGAACTGGTACATATTGATATGTGTGGGCCATTCCCCACAGCTTCTCCCCAAGGAGCAAAGTATTTTTTCGTGGTGCTCGAAGACATGATGATGGCTGCAGAAGTTCACATGCTGAAGCACAAAAATGAGGCATTCAGTCATTTCCAGGAGACTATCACAAAGTGGGAAAAGGTGTCTGGTCATCCAGTCATGTTCATATGGTCCGACAACACTCCAGAGCTCATGGAAGGCAAGATGAGGGAATATATCTCCATAAAAAGGGTATTTGCTGTCAACTGTGTGTTCCATATGCACATCAGCAGAACGGGAAGATAGAGCACTTCATATGTACCATTGAAGATCGTGCACTGGCTCTTCTGGCTCACTCTGGACTCCCTGCTTCTTTCCTAGCTGATGCGATCCTAATGACTGCTTATCTCTATATGCGACTTCCAAACTCCTCCATTCCGAAAAACATGACATCCTATGAACAAATGTACAAGAAGAAGCCTGATTTATCACACCTCCATGTCTGGGGGTGTCACTGTTGGGTTACAATACCTAGAGAGAAACATATCAAGGGAGGTGCAAAGATGTTTGAGGGGATATTCGTTAAGTATGAAGAGGATAGAGTTGGATGGTGGGTCCAGAATTTGAAAGGAAAGTACCATTTCTCGCAGGATGTGGAGTTCGATGAAGAAACACTGGGAAAGTTGAGTTCGAAGAAGAAGATGATTGATACTGGAGTAGACGAGGTCACAAGCTCTCAAGATGGTACACAGGTTTCCACAGAGGTACAAGACTACAACGAGCCAACTGCATGTCCAACACGGGTCAAGACAGCCACGGAGAAAGGTGAAGCATGGAAGACCCAACTTGAAGAGACAGAACGATGCCTTCAGAAATGAAGAACAACAGCAGCGGCAAAGGCAGTGGCAGATGCTTCAGCACTTCTGGCTGCACATGAAGTCGATCCCCCCAAAGATTACTTCTCTATAGGCTCGCTAGACTCCTTGGTGGTAAGTTGTGATGGAAACAGAGCATACAGCGATGGTGGAGAAAGGAGTGTTTGATCCAGCACCTGTGATTGATCTTCCTAAAGGAAAGAAAGCCATTGGTCTTTGCTGGGTATTTGTTTGGAAAGATACTGATGACAAAAAGATTGCAAAGGCTAGAATCGTGGTGCAGAGACACACACAATGTCCCAATGATTGCGGCAACACCTATGCACCTGTGGCAAAGATGACGAGCATCCAAATAGTTCTTGCATACACGGCTAAAGAAGATCTCAACCTATATACCTTTGATGTGCAGACCGCCTTTCTGAGTGCACCTCTCAGTCAAGAAGTCTATGTGAAGCAAGTTCCTGGTTTTCCCCTTGCAGATCCTAAAGCCTTCCAACGTCTTCGTAAAGCAATCTACAGACTAAAGCAATCTCCTCATGAATGGTTCTGTGAATTCTCCTCGGCGTTACAGAGCCTGGGTCTGTCATCTTGCCCTGTTGACGAAGCAGTGTTCACAGCCAGGTGGTCAAAGTCAAACCCTCATCCTGAAGTACCCATGCCATTAGATGGTTCCGACATTTTCATAATAATTCCAGTTCATGTCAATGATGGTCTTTCTGCTACCAATTCACCTGCACTTTACTCTTGGCTCATCTCTGCTCTGAACAAGTGATTCTCCATCAAAGATCTGGGACTGGCATCTATATTCTTTGGGATACACATTGAGAGAGATAGGTCCACCAGAAAACTATGGTTATCACAAAAACACTTCATCCAGGATCTACTAGCCTCAAACAACATGTTACAATGCACGCATTCATCCGTTCCCTTACACACGAAACTAGATAAACTCCCAACACCTGCTGACAACACGCTTCCTGACATCGCCGACAAGGATATCCAACTCCTCTATCAAAGTCTAACTGGGTCATACATCTACCTGGCAGTAACTACATGCCCAGATCTGGCTTATACTATGATGGCTCTGGGTCAGTATAATGCTCATCCTACTCGAGCTCTATTGGCTGCAGCAAAAGGCATACTACGATACCTCAATGCTATGTCAGATTGGGCTATAGAGTATGGGGGTGCATACTTGCAGGAGAAAGTGGGGCCAGATGCCGTTGTTTGGTCTGACCTTGCACTGGTGGATGCTGATTGGGTGTCCGACGAAAGGGATAGGAAGAGTATCACTGGCTACAGGATTTTCCTCTATGGGGGACTTGTATCGTGGTCAAGCATAAAACAAAAATCAGTCTCCTTATCATTGATGGAGTCTGAATATATGGGACTTACACACATCTTGAAGGAACTCCTGTGGATCCACATGTTCCTACGTTTACAAATGCTGCTGATACCCTGCCCTTTCCTTATCGGATCTGACAACCAAGCCTCTCTGGAAGTCGCGTCCTCATATAGCTCAACTGCTCACATGAAACACATCGACATACACTATCACTTTATTCATGAACACCTATGAACAGACAAATTTCATACTCATTGGATCCTGACATTGGAGATGACTGCAGATATCTTAACAAAACCACTTGCGCCACCACTACACTTGAAACACTGCATCTTCCTAGGGCTGATCAAACAGTGATGGTCCATCGAATGGGGGTGTGTTAGGAGGAGAGGACCTTATTTGATGGACAGAGTTGGGTTACGCACATGGGATGCATGTGATCTCTGCCAGACATATATGTACTTTGTCTTCCTTTCCTTTCTCCTCAGTTGCTACTACATCATCCATGCACTGAGGAGGTACGTCTCTCATTTATTCTTTTATATCACCTTTCATACTTACCTTAGTACCTTAGACTTACGTTCGTGTATTTGGTACAGGTATAAAAGTCACTACTACATCATCCATGCACTGAGGAGACTTACGTTTGTGTATTTGGTACAGGTACCTAGGGCTGACATGTATCATCTCTGTTTCTGTTGGGATCAGTGTCTCTTGTGTATTTTAACTTGAATCTGCCTTGAAGGTTGCATCACACCAGTGAATGACCTTCCTGTAAAAGTTTCTAGACTTAGGACTTCATTTGAGAGAGCTTAGCTTCACTAGGAGCATTGAGAATAAGAGAAACTCTACTTGATACTGAAGTATTATTGGGTCGTACTAGAAATAATTACTCCCTCTAGAACTTATGAGAGTGATTGTAATTTGTGTAGTTTGTGTGAGTGTGTGTGTGGGTTTTGAGGTTTGCCTTTTAGCCTGCTCACTATTCCACAGGTGCCCACAGCCAGCCTCTTCACCAGCAATCACCCAACCTGGCAACCCAGCATGACCTGGCCTACCTGGGCTGTACACTATCTGCCAGTGTGAGCTTTCTGCCTACTTAGTCCTCTCATCCTCAATCTAAATACTGATGGTATACAATTTTTCTGCTAGCAATGACACTTTCCTACTGTACATGACTGACACTTCCAATTTTGAATCTGTCAAACTTGACCAAATATTTTTATAACCACTAACTCAATTCTCACTAATCCTGCCAATATCCAGCAGCATGCCATTGGTGCTTTGAGCCTTTGACATCATTTTGACTGCTTTTCTCAAGGAGAACGCGGAATTAAAAATTTGGATATCAGGTATCCATGGGAAATAATTATGTGATCAACATATATGGTGTGTCACGCTCCTTTTATGGAAAATTTGTGACTCGGTCGGTCGGATTTTTTGAGAACAATTTTTTGAAAAGTGCTTGGAATGTTGTAAAACACCTAGGAAAATAGTCAAAATTGGGGGTCAATTTTTTTTGATGAATTTGCTAATATCGCCATCCTCAGTGATAGTTAGGCACTCAAAATCATACTTCAAAGCTTTGTTAATGTGTATCTTACATCTTAGGACCCGATATCCAAAATTTTAATTCCACATCCCCCTTGGCTTTTCTGGCACTCTTTGGGCCATGTGAGGTCATTACCATACATATATCAGCTGAAATAAACATCTCTAGGAGCATCTGGGTCTCTGGATGCTATTTTATAAGAGGGGGGCAAAAAAATTTTAAGGACCTTTTGGACCAACCAACCAACCTGATGTGCTGACTTGCCAGGCCGCAACCCCCTTGGGTTGATCATTGATACATATTTACCCATAGCCTCTCACTTACTGATATTGACTGCCTCTGGTTTCCTTTCTCCTCAGTAAAGGAAAGAATCAGGGACCAGCATGGAACTGTCACTGCTATAGGGATATGGATAGGAAGTTTCAGGTTGGGTAGACCATGCTTACCAGCAAGGTAACACCTGTCAGAAACAAGTGCCCTCTATCTTAGCAGGAATCCTTTCACTTGTCATTATCATGGTACAAGAGCAATGTTTTTCCTTTTGCCTGGTATAAGTCTAATACTAAGATGATGACCAAGATTGCAATACTATGAGCGATCCACGTTTGAATGTTATGGTCAAATCATACAATACACCAAATACATATTACCTAGTAAATAACTTATCCTGCAAGCCAAGAATCATCTTCTCCTGCCTCCCCTTCCCTCCTGCCCCTCCTCCACATACAGTGTCGATCCACTCCTACTAGCGGTCCGCTCCACAATTGATGTCCCATCCCTAAACCTTGCCCTGAACAATACATTTGCATTTGTAAATAACCCTTCCTTCAATGACACCACAATAAACTGCGACCCCTTTGAACCGCGTCCGGAATAGATGCCCAATATGCTGCGTATGTGACAGATCTAGCGCCGCATCAATCTCGTCGAGGATGTACATTGGCGCTGGTTTGAATTGGAGCAAGGCCATGATAAGCGACAGTGCAATGAGGGATCTAGAAGGGTGTCAGATCCACGTAAACGAGGAATAGCCTTGGTCCTCGCGTACCTCTGTCCTCCACTCAATTCCGTCAAGCTCTGCTTCCACACTGTGCCAAGCTGGACTTTGACTTCTAAGCCTTCAGTCATGTCGAGGCCTTCGGGCGGTTGGAGCTTGGCATAATTTCCTGGCAGGAGTTCTCGGAAGATTTCGCCAAAGTCTCTAGTGTATGATGTCAACGTTGTAAATCAAACAAACGTAGCCAAAAGACCTACTTAGACACCTTTGTCCACGTATTCTGAAGTGCATCCCTCTTATATCGATCGAGCTCCTCAATAGTCTGCTCAATCTTCTTCTTGTCCCCCAGTACCGTCTCAAGCATCTTTTGTAGAGACGACTCCTTCTTCTCGACGCTACAAGTTCCCAATGAGCCAGCCGTAAGGAGAACAAATACGAAGATGCTAACTCAGTCAATCATATTCACCACCTTATAATTAACCTTCTTCTTCTGCACCTTCTGCTTGTTCTCCAGCTCAATAACCTCCTCCCTGAGCTTGCCCATATCACACTTGCCGAAAGTCATACTTGCCTCCAGGCCTGTTGAACTGACTAAAACGGGAGACATATTCAGCCCGAGCTCTCAGAGAAGAAGTAAGGCCTACTCGTGCTCTTGCAAAATCCACTCGTAGTTCTTCTCTAGCGAATCAACCTGATGGATCCTGCGGCTTTCCGCTCCTTATCCAAATTCTGTATCGCATGGTCCAACTTGGTCAAATCAGCATCAGCGTCAACGAGAACCTTCTTCTTCGCCTTGATGACCCCTTCGAGCTCCTTTAGTTGGCCGTCAAACCGGGAAAGCGTCGCCCGTTCCTGTTCAAGCTCCTGGTATGCCGTCTCATACGACCTCTATTTACGACGCTGAGTCAGTATTGGCCACGAAAGCAACATGATCAAAATACCTGTTCATTCGCGACGCGCTGTACGAGTTTCTCGAGCTCCTTTCGTAGTTTAGCACCCCCGGCGACAACATCCTCAAGTGTGGCCTTCGCAGTGTTGATATCGATTTGCATTTGCTCTGAAGTGACCATCAACATTTCTTCATCTACGGCGGAAAATGGAAATGGCAGACCTAGCTCCAGCATCGCAGTTTGCAGCTCCTTTTGCGTTTCTTTCACCACTACAGCATGCTTCTGTAGCGCCGCCTTTTGCTTCTGAATACCGGTCTGAAACAATGCATTAGCAAATACCCAACAGCAAGCAGGATTGCAGCTCAGCACCTTTAGCTCATCGATCTTGCCATCCTTGTTGTTCTTGAACTCGTCCATATCACGTTGAAGCTTCTTGCATTCCTGTTCGGCCGCCTTTTGCTTCTCCTTCGCATCATGGATGTTCTTCTGCAGCACTTGAATGCTCTGTGATAGTGTCTTGATATCGTCCTCGAGCTACATATAGTCAGGAGCAGTTCGTACGAGGATGAGAAGTATGAAATCTTACCCTACCAGCAGTACTTCCCCCAACTTGGCCTTCTAGCAACTGTAACTCATGCTCCTTCATCTCAATCTGCCTTTCCAAAGCCTTCCAATCATCCCTCTTCTTCCGGTTCTTCTCTCCGCCTGTTTCATGTGCTACCAGCTGGTCTTGGACATCAGCTAGCTTCACCTCCGCTTCAATGAGCTCCTGCACCCTCAACAACACACCACTACTCTGCGACGCCGACCCTCCACTCAAAGTTCCTGAAGGCTCGTACACATCACCCTCCAACGTCACGGCGCGCGCTCCGATCTCCCTGTTGAACGTCACAGTCTTCGCTGTCTGAGCGTCCTCGCAGACAAAGGTGCTTCCAAACGCGTATGCCATGGCATTCTTCACCTCGTCAGGGTAACTAACCAACGAGAGTGCAACCTTGGCTTTTCCCGGCACGAGCTGTTCTGCCCGAGAGACCTTTTGGGGAGGGACTGAGGAAGGCTGGATCTTGTTGAGAGGAATAATCGTCACTTTCTTTCGAAGGTTCCCGTTTGTCAGTAGGTCCTTGCCGACTTTCTCGTCCTTGACGACGACGTTGTACAGTCGTCCACCAGCTGTAGCCTCTAAAGCGGTGGCCTTGTGGTAATTGTCCTTGTCGAGAGAGACAAGTGTCGCTAGACGACCCTTAACGTTCCGCCGGTCGAAATTAAGTGGTGCCTGATAATCAAAGTCAAGTCCTCCTAGATTCTGCTTGACGTAGTCGCGTCTCTGTTCAAACGAGGTCACAAAAGTATGATTCGCAGAGAGAGGCGACTTACCTCGATGAGCTGGCGGACAAGTGCTTTCAGCTCCTTAAGTCGGCCCTCGAAAGTCTCCTCCATTACTCTGTTCCATCCGCATCTTTCGACCTGCAGCTTATATCGTTCGAGGTCAGTCTTGAGCGCTTGGATCTTCCGCTTGCCTTCCTCCGCATCACGTTCGACCTCCTTCCACCGATTTTGTCGATCCTGGAGGTCCTTCTCCTGCATCGACAGCGTAATTTTGCCCTGTTCTTCCTCTGCTCGCGCCTGGGCACCCCTGGCTCGCGCCTCCGCAATCTGGCCCAAGTATCCTCCGCCGTTAGTATTCGTATTGCTGGAAGAAAGCCCTGTCAGCAATGACTGCAGCAGCTCTTCATCAGATGTGAGTTTTTGCTGAATTTCTAAGTGGACGTCCTTGACGGCAGTATGTTCGGCCGTAATCTTCTCCACTTCAACCTGCTGCTGGGCTAATGAACCTTCGAGCTGGTAACCGTAAGCTCAACGTCTCGCAAAAGACTGAAAAACGTACCCGCCGGATCTCAGCTTTGGCATTTTCGACACTCTTGTCATCGTCCATGATAGAGCTCTCCTTGAGCTGAACTTGCATTCGTAACTTTGTGAGCTCCTTGTCCAGCTCTAGCACGTCTGCCTCCAACTTGCTTAGCTTGCCGCCCTTTCGCATCTCAGCATCCTTCTTCTTCTGCACCTCTGAGGCATCATCCTCGGCGGCCTTCAAATCCCGTATCGCCTTCTTTTTCTCATCCTGCCTCGTCTTGACCTCTTCTCGCTTTTGCTCGGCCTCTTTCTCCTTCGAGTCGACCCTCTGCTTCGCGTCGTACCACTCTAACGCGTGCAGTTTCTTCCCGAGAAGCTCTAGTTGCGCTGCAGCCTTTTGGTAGTCCAGGAATGCCTTTTTCTCCTTTCGAAGCTTGTCGAGCTTAGGTGCAATTTCTTCCTGCAGCACCGCAGTGATTTCGTCAACGCGCTTCTCCTTCTTTGCCATTGTCTTCTTCGCCTTGTCCTTTCGATCCTCAAACATCCGCGTTCCGGCGGCTTCCTCGACCATGCCCAGAATCTCCTGAGGCTTCATATTGAGCACCTTGGTGATACGTCCTTGCATGATGACGAAATTAGGGTTGTTGATGTTGAGCTGAACGGACTGGAAGAGATTTTGGATGGTTTGCTGAGGAGCTTTGTGGCCGTTGAGGAGATATTTTGAAACGTTAGGAAGCGCCACCTAGTTCTCATTAAAACGGCCGATATCCTAAACAAAAAGTCACACACCTGACGAGTAACGGTAATCTGCTTTTGATCCTCCAGCCCAAGGGGGCTCTTGGAGCGATCTGAATTGTCGAAGACGATAGTGACACTTGCCTTGGTGACCCCGGCCTGTCCGCGCTTATATATGAGGTCTTGTTGGTTTGCCGCACGCATCTATGGCATTGTTGGAACACAAAGACAACAAAGAACGCCGGTCTACGCACCACGGACATGTTGGTTATCCCAAGTACAAATGCAATCGCGTCAAGAATGTTCGATTTTCCGGATCCATTGAGCCCAGTGATCGCGTTGAAAGACGGGTCCCAGCCAGTAATTTGCGTTCGAACAGGGTATGACTTGAATCCTTAACGGGAAGACATCAGAAAGCACCACAAGACTGACGGGGGAAATCTCCCCACCTTCCAGGACAAGTTCTTCTATCCTCATCGTTGGTGGTCGCGAAAGGTTGAAAGGTTTGAAAGGAAGGGGTCGTTACTGTCACTCATCACGGTTGTCACTAGCGGCACTAGCGCGTCAGTCATGTGACTTATGCGGGGTCATGCCGGAGCATAGGAATCTGCCGAGCCCCGACACGGCATAGGAGAAGCACAGCCACCCGCAGTGAGCCTGACGCCATTTCGCTCCCACTGGACATCTTCCTACAGCCAACATGCAACACTTTGGAAAGAGTGTTATCCGTGTCACCAAAAATTATACGAAAGGTTACTCTGATACACAAGCAAAAGTCCGCGATGCGACTAGCAATGATCCTTGGGGCCCTAGTGGCACGCAAATGAACGAGATAGCCCAATTGACATACAATCAGTCAGTGAATCTGCTGTCCGTAGGACCTGCGCTTAATATCAGTCATACAGGAACGATTTCGTGGAAATAATGGAGATGCTTGATAAGAGGCTGAATGACAAGGGCAAGAATTGGCGGCATGTGTTCAAGGTGAGAGGACCTTCCGGCATCTCCTTTTGCTCGCAGCTCGCTAATGCGATGGCCAGAGTCTCACCGTGCTTGACTACTGTCTTCACCAAGGCTCCGAAAACGTTGTCATCTACTTCCGCGATAACGTATATATCATCAAGACCCTCAAGGAATTCCAATACCTTGATGAAGAGGGGAAAGACCAGGGCGCTAATGTGCGTCAGAAGGCGAAGGACATCACTAGCCTGCTGCTTGATGAGGGTCGACTTCGTCAAGAAAGGAGGGCTCGGGCGAGCATGCGGGACCGGATGATACGCGGTGCTGGAGGCGACTACGACGAACCTGACAACGATGCCGACGAAAACCGCCACCGCCGTAGCCTGAATGGCAACCTGCCGAATAGGAGGACTGGGGATGAGGACGATTTGAGAAAAGCCATCGAAGAGAGTAAGCGAACGTTGGCGCAGGAGCGAATCACCGCGGAGGAGAGGGACCTTCAGGAGGCCATCAAGCTCAGCGAAGAGGAGGAGGCGAAGCGGCATAAGGCTGTTGAAGACTCTAATTCTTCTGCTCTTTTCGATGACCAGAATCAGCTGTTAGCACCCCTTTCTTATCTTTCCTTTCGTTAAACTCACTCTGGCCCAGATCTGCGCCTATCAGCAACAATCCCTTCCCAATGAACAATATGAGCGACCCTACGCCGTATGCTGTCGGCCTTCAACCGCAATTCACGCAGGTCCAACCACAATTCACTCAAATTCAACCGCAATTCACTGCGTTCAACCCATATCAGCAGCAGGCACAGGCCGAGCAGGAGGTAAGCGACCTTTTCCTGCGTCAATCTTAGTCACATCTTTGATGATACTTATCTAGATGCTTATGCAACAGCAGTTCCTATTGCAGCAGCAGCAGCAAGCGCAGAACGACGAGTGGATGAGGCAACAATTACTATTGCAGCAGCAACAGCAACAACAACAACAACAGAGTATGTTCTTGCAGCAACAGCAGTCAATTATGGCGCAGCCGACGGGTCTTGGGTGGGTTCCTTAGTATACGTTGTGGCGATTGGACCACTGATGAAGAACGCTTCAGGTCGAACAATCCCTTCGCACCCTCTCCTAGCCATTCTCAGCCTGGATCTTCGCCTTCTCCTCATCCTACCCCTCAGTTTAACCTTCAAGGCACATATGCCAACAACAACCAGAATGTCGACCTTTCCTCCTTCAATCACCATTCAAACTACTCCTCTCCATCTCCCGGACCATCACCTGTCAACAATAATCCCACTAGGCCTGTAGTCAAAACACGGCAGGATGAAAACGAGCACTTGGCGAACCTTTTCGCAAACCGAGACGATGGCCAAGACACGTTTGGTAATGTAGGCGCGTTGAGATACGGTCAGACAAGGGTGGTGCCAAACCAGATGACGGGGCATAATCCGTTTGCGAAGCAGCAGCAACAGAACGAGCAGCCTTTCTTCAGTGTTTGAACCACGAGATAACTCATGACGATTGATTTGTGATGCAACGGATAGTGGATGCTTTTTTTCTTTCCCAACTGTTGCTATCCTACTAGGTTACCTTTATTTTAATTTTAAAGCACAGTTGGCTCTCTTGAAACAGGGAATCGAACTTCTATATCATTAAATCTACAGCCCCTATACATTCCGATACTCAAATGCTGGGCATCCTGGCTCCGACGACTCTATTATGCTCTTCGTGAAGCCAGCCTCCTCTTGCTTCTCTAGCGCCTCCTCAACGCTCAAAATATCAACATCAACTAAGGAAAGGGTTTTCTTCAGATATGACAACATCTCTGCCAGGATCGCGCTCTCAGAGAATGGCAAGGTGCGATGGAATGCTATCTCTGCGCCAAACTGTTGTATGCGTTTCTAGGTGACAATGAGCAGGCATTAGACCAGACTTGTAAAATCCAGAAACCTTACCTTGAAACCCTGTATGAACGGCATTGCCCTCTTGTCCTTAATCAGCCCTTTTTGTATTAACAGTTCCTTGACCTTAGCATCGTCGAACTTGTCCGACTTTTCGTCATAGACCTCCCGCAAGATGCCAACACACGTGTCCTGCCACTCAGGGAAAGATTTCGCCACGTAAATCCTAACACTCTTTGGCTTCTTCGGGTCAAAGGTTTGCTGCTGAGACTTGCCCCCCTTCCCGCCCTTGTTCAACTTGGCAAGCATCTTCAATAAACTCGTCTCAGCATCTCGAATCATTTTGGTTGTGCCGCGCATGTATTGCCCCGCTTCGATGAGAGTCCTATCAACAGGTTTCGAGGGAGTAGGCCACAGGGCTAGCTGTATGGACGTCGGGTTCTTGAGAATCGCAGAGTGGATGTGTTCAGCGAAGTGAGGTGCAATGGGAACGATGAGCAGGGAGGCGATTTTAATCCAGTACTTGACAAGATCACCGTGCATTCCCGTGTCGACGGTGACTTCTCGATACCAATCCCGCACGCTTTGGAGCTCGTAGAAGCCATATTTTAGGGCGTCTTTGTAGTTGGTTGCTTCATAATGACTTCGTGTAATGTTGATCAGCTCGTTGATTTCTTCTTCGAACACCTGGTCGTGATACAACTTCTCGCCGTGGCGTAGGTTCTTCTCCTCCTTTATCATTTCCTCGCACCATCCTAGTAAGGTGTGCACCCTCAAGATGTTAGCGTTCGCTGTCTTCTCTTCGAAGTTCGCATCTTCCATACTATCACCAGCGTCCGCCAAGCTGAGCCGTGTCGCATCTGCGCCAAACTTTTCCGTTGCCTCCCTGAGAGTCAGAGAGTTTCCGGTACTCTTACTCATCTTCTTTCCATTCAGCATTAGATGACCATTTGTGCGCATGCTCAAAGGCCACTTGTCCTCGGGGAAGATTGCGACGTGATTGTACAACGCGAAAGTCAGGTGATTGCCAATAAGGTCCTTCGCAGACGACCGTATGTCGAAAGGATAAAAGTAGTTGAATTCGTGCTTTAAGGCGTCGGCTTTTTCCTGGGGCATAGGTGCGGGGTTGGGCCAAGGACCGTCACAGAAGACGTACTCCCAAATCTCGTCTGTCATCTGGTCGGGTTTAATGCCTAGAGGACCCGGCTTCGAGCCATCGATACTGTTTTCTACGCGATGGTCAGATTAGCTATGTCTATCTCCAAAGAGCACACTTACCATGCAGCAACTGCGCTACAGTATAATAACTCATGTAGATAGTGGAGTCACTTAGACTCTCGACCATGAAGTGAGGATCCCAAGGCAAATCCGAACCAAGTCCGTACGTCCTAGCGCAAGCCCACTTGTTCAGCCAGGCCAATATCTTTTCAAACGCGTTCCTCGTCTCGTGTGTGTACATCTCCATTCTGGCGACCAGCCTCTCCGTCTCGGCCCGCCAGGCAGGTTCACCATAATCGATATACCACTGGTCCATCAGCGCAACAACACAGTCGTCACCACTCCTCGAGATAACAACACCTTCGGGCTCAGCGTACGCAAACGCAAGACCCTCAGCAATCATATCCGCCCTCACCTTTGGCTTAGCGTCCTGGACCGACTCGCCCTTATATTTACCGACGAGCATGACACCGCCATAAAAGCCCTCCTTGTACGCAATTTCCTTCGCCTCGGCGAGCTGCTTCGTATCCTTCTGGCTATTAATCTTCAGCTTCTTGACAACCTCGGCAGCAACCATATCACCGTAGCTCGTCTTAATTAGCGGCACGGCTTCTCGACCTGCTAGCCAGTCAGGACTGACGCCATAGTACTCGGGCTTTTTCTTGAGATCGGCGACGGTGGCCCAGTCATCAGGAGAATCGGAGGGGACGCTGGTGACTACGCCAGTACCTTTGGTGGCTAGGACGCCGTCCATCGGTAGGACATAGACACCCTGGGTGTAGACGCTGTACGGAGCGCTCACTTTGGTGCCAATGAGATCCCGACCTTCTACTTCTGCAAGTTGCTCGAGAACGCCATGTTCTTTGGTAATTTTTTGGAATATCATGTTCCTCATAGCGCGGTGCGTGCATAGGAATGCTTCTGTATCGTTGACTGCATACACGCCGTACTTGAGGGCGGTACCCACGAAGCAATTGGTCTGGCCGTACCTAGTCGCACGTGAGCAAGGAAGACTGAATAATAGCGAAACGTACATCGTCTCCGGTCTCAAGGTCGCCGCTACCATATACACCTTCCTTCCTCCAACCTTGCTTTTAATGACCTCTGTATTCGGTGCCCACTCTAGGACCTCGAGCTTGATGCCTGTGTACTCCTGCGGGCCCACACCCTCGCCATCTTGACGATCATGATCCATACATGGTTGGCCATCCTTTTCGCTATATATGGTATACCTACAAATTGTCAATACGTACTCCGTTCGAAAACATCCAGGTGTCGTACCTCTCTCCAAATTTGATTCTATCCTGTTTATGCAGCTTGTTAACTTGCCATCTCACGAATGCATCATAGTATGGGTTCGCCTGCGTCGTCAAAAAACGGCGTCTCCAGTCGATCCGCGAACCAAAAGCATTGTTGTCCTGGATTGCAATAGGAGGGAAATACTCCAGCCAGTACAATGGATCCGCAAACTTGCTGATCTCAGATTTGGGTACTCCAATACTCTCCATTATCTGGAACTGATATGTATGGCCAGTGGATTTTGCCTGCAGCTTGCCCTTCTTCGCCTTGGACTTGTCGGCAGCAGCGGGATCCCTGACTTCCTCCTCCTTCTCTTTAGCCTCCTTCTCGGCCTCTAATTTGGCCTGGACCTCTTCAAAGTTTTCAAATTCCGTGCCAAAAAGGCTCATCTCCCGGATGATTTTGTCCGAGCTAGCCTTGATGGGCATACCGGTGACATGGAAACCATGGGGGAACAGGACGCATTTTCCAAGCATACGCTGATAGCCAGCAGCGAACTCGATTTTGCTGATGGTGAACGCATGTCCGAGATGTAGAGAGCCATTCATGTAGGGATAGGGAAAGTTGCCGAACCACTTGGGGAACTTTTCATGTATTTGCTCTTTGGACAAGCCGGCAAGTTCTTCAGGCGACGGTGCGTTGACCTCGAAAAGCTTTTTCTGCCTGCCATTTTCCCTGGTATTTTTTCTCGAGGTCGATGAGGTAGTCTCGTTTCGCAGTCTGTGCGAGCTCGATGGTATTGGACATGGCAGAGTAGGTGCGAGATATAAAACAAGATCGCGTCGCCAATGAGCAGCGTCGCAGGAGCGTAGTCGAAAGGGTATCGCCTAAATCAGGAGAGCCTGATCGTCGGCGTGCAGAGCAAAGATGAATCGATCAGCAAAAAATTCGAGTCAGATCAATGTCCTTTTTCGGCGACTCTGAAAATATCAGATTAGATAAGATAAGATAATAAACGCTTAACAGTTAACGCTGATTGATTTACAAAGTTGACATCGTACACTGGAGACATTGGCGAGAGCTTCCGAGACTGCTTAATTTAAAAGCGCACACTGGATTGAGTAGCCCAATAAAATCTTGCAAGGAACGGCCATATATGGTGTCGTTGGGAAACGTGTAGAACAAAGATGAAGAATTCGATCAATATAGGTAATCTTATCTTCCTCTTCCATGCTTGGTCGGTTACAGGCCTTGTTCTCTAGCAAACCCTTCGACGATTCTTTGTATCGTGCATTTGGATCCATGGGCGGTTTGTATACTGCTCTATTGCCTTCAATATCATACTCACTTTTGTCCAGCTGCGACCGAAATAGCCACATTTGCCTCTGGATGCTTCTGGGGAGTGGAGCACATCTTTTTGAAGCACTATCCCCCCTCCCAGGGTAAGGGAATTATCAAGACTAGCGTTGGATATACTGGCGGCAAGGAGGCCTTTCAAAATCCGGGGTATAGGGATGTGTGCTCTGGCGAGACGGGTCATGCAGAGGCGGTAAAGATTGAATTCGATCCCGCCATTGTCAAGTACGATGAACTTGTCGGTGCGTTGAAGATATATCTGCCAACTGGCGCCCTCATGACCATAGCTCACAGAGTTCTTCTATCGCACCCACGACCCTACAACGGTGAACAGGCAAGGCGCGGACACCGGTACTCGTATGTGGCTTATACCGCCTTTCCCTCTCTTTTCCTCTGACCCTGTCGTAGAGTATCGCTCGGCCATATTCACACACTCGCCTGAGCAAGAGGAAGTTGCGAAGCGGGTAACGGAGCAAATGCAGGCCAAGCACTTCACTCCGAAAGGAAAAACAATTGTCACGGAGATTCTCGAGGCAGGACCGTGGTGGGACGCGGAGGAGTATCATCAGCTGTACTTGTTCAAGAATCCCAGCGGGTACCAGTGCCCAACCCACCGTCTTCACTGGTAATGTATGTATATACGTAAACAGAGTGTACCAATAGGTTTCGAATTTCAATACATATGTACGCGATCCTTATTTCCTTTTATTACCATCATCACTTCGTCCTCTTCTACTATGTTCGACGAACATGACGGCGAAAGCGATGCTAGTGGCTCCTATGACTCGGACGTGAGCAGCTCTGGTGACGAGAGCAATGGAATCGAACAAACCGTTCTCAGTCCAGAGGAAGCCTTTGCCGAAAGAGAGATCGAAGGCGACTTTGAGTGCGTCCACCGTTTGTCACTTTCTCATCTGTACTCACGTCTTGCAGCCGTCTAGTGAAGAATATTCAACGGAGCGATGCTCCTGGTCTAACCAAAGACTGGGATTTCAATATCGAAGACCGCGATGCTGAATTTCGCGATGATTTGAGAGCAGCTTCAGGCATTGGTCGCAGACATAAAAAGGTTAGTATCGCCTTTTACTTACTTATACGCTGATGAGCGACCTCGCAACCAGAAAGGACGCGCTGCAGGCCCTGCTTTATCTCAACAAGTTAGATCTCTCATTGGGGACGGTAATCAGGCCTATGTTGACAACAACCTTCCTGAGGCTATACGTATCATGCAAGAAGTCATTCGTATCGAACCGCGTGCAGTCTCTGCCTGGTCCGTGTGGGCCCAGTGCTGTGCCGACATGAATCAAGAACATAGAGCTCTTCAGCTTCGCATCATGGCTGCTCATCTCAGACACGACGCTGAAGAATGGGATCGATTGGCCCGGCAGTCCAAGTAAGTCGCTCTCTTGTGGACGTCCTTTCCTTGTTACTTATTCCCTGCAGAGACCTTGGTTACAACCAGCAAGCATTGTACTGTTTTCGAAAGGTGTACAGTCTTGACCCATCAAACATTGAGGCGCTATGGGACCGCGCCACGCTTGCTAAGGACACTGGAGATTTGAGAACTGTTGCGTCCTGTCTTATTCTTTCCCTGCTCCATGACTAACGACTAACCATGAGTAGGCCCGTATTGCATACAAAGCTATTCTCAAGCGGTTTCCCCACGATCTGACAGTCCTGTCAGAGCTCAGGACCATCCTTATCGAACTCTCCGATCTTACAACATGCGCATCTCTCTTTCAACAAGCATTTGATCATTACCAGCAGTTATATCCCTCAGGTCGCGGGCCTTCGCCTTCATCGACTGGCGAAATACCTGGTGGTGGATATGGCTTGATGGAGGTGCTCGTACTCGCTGATCTATACAACACCCTTGGAGAATACGAGAGCGCTATTGATGTTATCCGGAAAGGATGTCGGTGGCTTCAAGGACGTGCTGATCAGAGATATTGGGATGTCTGTGACGACGATAGGGAGTATGATCTACCAGACGTCGATATCCCACGACGAGCAGGTGGTACCATAGATCCAGGAAGGTATCCTCTCGACGTGAATGCCAGACACCGTCTTGCTATTGCCAGAATCAAGATGGGCGAGGTAGAAGAAAGCAAGGCAAGACTCCCTTTCTTTTCCAGTGGTGCATTTCTGACTCGCAGACCAGATGCACGCCGATATCATTCTGAGCGAAGACGTCCTTGATTACGCTGCCTTGTTTGTAGAGATTGCTGACGCCTATTTCGAACGAGAGTTATATGCTGATGCTCGCCCTATCTATGAACTTTTGGGCGCAGACGCTAGTGTAAGTTGATATTCTTCATTCGATCGTCTTTCTTTGACAGCCTTCTCTAGACAAGCAGTTTATATATCCTGCTTCAAACAGCCGCTTGCCTTCGAATGCTGGACGAGTTGCGTGAAGCGGCTGAAGTATACGAACATAGTATGTTACGTCGCACTGAAATCCAATTCAGAATTAACGCCCAGCAGTCAAGCTTGCTGATCCCACACACAACGAAGCCAAAATGAAGCTCGCTGAGATCTACGAAATCTTGAATGAACCGAGGAAAGCACTTGAATTGGTCTACGAAGGTACAGAAATCAAGTAACTCGTCGGTAATAACACTTATCAGTACCCAAGTTATTGATTCGCGGAAAAAGAGACCGAAGGACAAGACTGCAACACAAGCCGAGGACACAGCAACCGCCTCTTTGTTCCCTGAAGAAAGGACGCAGCCAAGAACCAAACCTCCCACTGTCAAGGCACAAAACCGATTGACTCATGCACAATTGCGAGAATTGGAGGTCGAAAAGGAGAAAGAAATTGTCAGGGGATACCGAAGATTGCAAGAGGTATGGGCGAAGATGATGGAAGGTGACGAAGTTGCGGAACGGGAATGGGTGGTTGAAGCGGAAAAAATGGTCGAGACATTTAGGGAGACACGGAATTTGTTCATGACTAGTAGGGTGAGGCTGATGTTCTACTTTTCGTGGCTTTACCAGCTCAATGATGATATTAGAACAACCCCTTCCGAGGAATGTTCCCACGACGCCCCAAGAAACAGAGAGACCACGAAGAAGACGAAGACCGTATGGTTTCGCGTCTTCACCTTGATCTAGGTAAAGTAGCTTTCCTTCTGATGCTCTACGCGAATCTAAGACTTCCATGCCCAGAGAACGATAGCATGGCCAAGAAGGCGTCAAGGAGCGACAAGAAGGACGAAAAAGTAGACATATTTCGAGGCGTCTCCTTTGATGATTGGTTGCGTGTGTTCATGCAGGTTGGTTGCTCGCTTATACCAAGAAATACATAACGATAATTATCATGTTTTCAGTATTGCTTCATACTAACGAAGCGCGGACAGTATGATCTAGCCGACGAAGTCCTTCGCCACATTCTCCTATCAAATGCATATCAGTCCAAAGAGCTGCAATCCACTATTCGGCTTGCTTTACTCGGTGATATATTTTCTCTCGATAATCATCCCTCAAGCACTAACCCCCAATAAGCATGCGCTATCGCGTCGAAAAATTATGTCGTCGTTGTCGAACTCTGTCGCAAGTTGATCAACGTCTATCAATTCAATAACGAGCCCTTGCGTCTACTTCTTGCCACGTTGTCGAGCGGTCTGCGCCCAACCGATGCTTTCATCACATCCACTTTACAGAAGCATCTCTTCCGGGAGATGAAGTTGGGAGACGCGGCTGTGAAAAATCCGGAAAGTCTACGATGGAATCAAACCAATAAACGTTATGCCACTATAAACCAGGCCAAGGCAGATGATGATGACGTTGAGGATGAAGGCGGTGGTAATGCTGAGACCGACAATGGGAAGGGGCCAGTACCTGAGCTGCCCACAAAACAAAACCCCGTCATCGTGGCCATTTATGGTCAGATATGCATTGCAGCCAAAAGCTATCAGAGTGCGATCTGTAAGCTCTTTGTTCCTTCTACATGGATTTAATGCCAACTGCTATTTCAGTTTATCTCTTACATGCGTATGACTATTGCCCCGACGACCCTATGATTTGCTTGTCTCTAGCAATCGCATCTCTGGGTCGTGCCATGCAACGACAGTCAGATAATAGGCACCATTTGATTGCACAGGTACCAATGCTTGTGACTGTACAGCTACCCCTTAGTTAATCCTCCTGTTCTGCAGGCCTTAGCCTTCCTATCACGGTATAGGATCATTCGAGGAACCAACCTCCAAGGACAGAGCGAGGTCGAATATAACTTTGGCCGTAGTTTCCATCAGCTTAGTATGTGCCGGCGGTGTTTATTCGGATGCCTTCTCAATTATCTTTTCTTAGGCCTGTATAGCTATGCTGCAAAACATTACGAACGAGTACTCCAGCTCGCAGAGCAGCGACCATCAGACTCGACCGTAAGTCGTTAGTACAGGGTATATACTGCTTCTTTCTTATAACTTCACTCTAGGAGGAAACGTTTTGCAAAGGAAGCTGCATATAATCTTGCATTGATCTATGTTATGACTGGCGCGACTCCACTTGCGGCTGCGTTATATGACAGATGGCTATCGCTTTGATCGTGAACTGGAACCAAGACTAGCTTGTAGTGGTTATCTCTACTACTGAAATGTAAAATAAGTAAGGTCCTTGTTCAGAGTTGCAAGTGGCGCATTAGCGTGTTAGACAGCATGTGATCGCGCGATGAGACCCCCACCTTTCTGCTCAGGCGAGACTACTATAACTGCGTCTATCCTTCCTCTTTCCTGCAGATACCGACGCCTTGCTATCATGTGCATTTATAAGACCCTTCTCCTGACCTGACATTCTCTCTCCGTAGAGGTGCAAACCCAATCGCTTCAAATTGCCATGATGGCGTGGGTATGTTGCGCACGAGGTATCACTGAAGAAGCAAACCGTGTAAACCATATCAGCCTGTACGGAAATAGAACACAATTGCAGTCACCACCTGTAGTCGTTGAAGCTTGAAGCGTCGAAAAGCTAAGGGTAAGAAAGATATTCGAGGGCTTCCGTCAACACATATGTCGTAGGATAGAAGCTCGTACATGCAATCGAATTAATCGAAGATAAAACAGACCTTGCTACAACCCATACGTAGACTACAGAACAATATCAAAGCTCGTTACTTGAGGTAGAAATGCTGAGCCAGCCAGATCAATCAGATGGACATCATCAAAGGCCGTCATTCCGTTGTATCCACCAAAAAAGAAGAGTCGACTGTCGGCAAGCACAGCAACATGATATCCTCGCTGACTGGGTGGTCGACCATATATTGGTCGACTCTCATACTGAAAGTTCACTGTTAGAACAATGTTAATATCCGTAATAATAGGCAGAAGAACACTTCAACTTGCCAAGGCTAAAGCATTTCACGTCAGACGTGTATTCTGATCCGTCATGCCCACCTTGAACGTAAAGATAAGTTCCCACTTGGGTTGATGTATGAGATAATCGTTTATAGGATTCGTTTTCAGGGAGGTCTATTAGAGTCCACTCAAATGTTTCTGTGGGATGTTGAGAGGTCCATGAAGTACGACATTCAATCGCACTCACTGAGATTCAAAAACCATATTTCTGCAAAACAGTCGGCTCCGTCACTTCCTCCAATGATGATCATGAAGTGGTCAGCGAGGTTTGCAGTGTGGTATCCCCTGGGCGTTGGCTGCTTTTCTCCATGTGTCGTTATCTTCTCCCAGCGCATTTCGGTCATATTGGAAACATCTAGTGTCCAGACATCATTCAATGCAGTCATGCCGTTTCCGCCACCAAAGATCCAAATCTTGTTCTCGTAAAGAATGGCGGTGTGTGCTCTTCTCTGCGGCGGTATATCCCCTACAATTGTAGGGCGTGACCACGTTCGAGTTCTTGTGTCAAAAACATAGACAACCATCGTAATACGTGCCGCCTTGTCCGCCCCCATATACAACGATTTGACGGTCGACCATGACAGCTGTGTGAGCCCGTGAAGGAGGAGGTGCGTCGCCAATGGTGTCTGGATGCGACCACTGCATCGTATCTACCGGTTGGACTCAGTCAACAGCGTCCGTGCACCAGAACAGCCGCTACACACCAATGTCAAAGCAATAGATATCCCGTGCCGTATCCTTATCGTCACATCCACCAAAAATCCAAGCGACATTATCCAGCAGTGTCACGGTATGGCCTCGCATATTTCTTTGAGGTATGGCACCGTAGACCGGGGCACGACTCCAGTACATGACAGCACTGGGAGCGTCTTCTGCATCTCGCTCATGAGGTAAACGGGGCGTGCTTCTTATTCTGGGGATATTTCCGCTCCGGCCAGCCTTGCCATCCTTCGTCGCTGCAACCGATGCCGCCGACACATTTGAAAGTGTTCGCTTCGACGTCAGGTTCTCAGCCGACACTCGCCCAAGACGTGAAGACGACTTTTTCAGACTTGCCGAACGAGACGACGACTTGCTGTTCGAGCCTGTGGGGTGCAGAGTAGATGTTGAGGCTGTTGCAACACTTGAGGAGTCGAAATAAGGAGAGGTCGAGGGTGACGACAGGTACGGTTCCTCTTCGGGTACATCGTGAAGGCTGCGAACCGTGCTCATCGTCGTCGTCGTCGTCAGGGTCGATGTCAAGGGGCAAGAACGAGCAGAACGGCTGTCAAGGGTGATGGTAGGACGGACAGACGCGTACAGGTTATTGTGCCCACGTGCCCGGCCCTATACAGCGATCAGAACAGCTACTACCCTGAGTCGAACTAAAATACAATTATCCCAATCGATACAATAATATATACTATAGTGTAGGAAGCATGGCTATCGTGGGGAATTACTGCCAGGAGAACCGGCGGCCCTATTAGCATCAATAACATCGTTCAACTGGTGACTCCTCCTCTGTGCTAGATCCAGCTGCCGTTGCAGGGCCCTGTAACCATTCATCAGAAAGATCAGCAAAGAAGAGGATAATGAACTCACTTGATACTACTCTCCAGCTCCGCAACTCTTTCCTTGCCGCCCTGTCTTTCTCTCTTCACTCTCTCTTCAGCAGCCTTCAACCGCGTCTCATACTCTTTCACCCTTGCCTCCCACTTTGAATCCGCTGCAGAACTCTTCTGGCTCATCTGGGCCATCTTCTCCTCTGTTGCTAACAGCTGGTTCTGCGCATTGTTAAGCCGTCGTTCAGCGTTCACCGCGCGCGTGCTCAGCGACCGGATTTCCATCGAGTCAGTTTGACCCGGACGCCTCATACTCGCCAGCTGTGCCGCCATCTCGGCGTTCGTTGTCTGTTGAGGATACATTAACACCATCAAAAATAAGCCGACGAAGAAAATACAAACCTTGATTGCTTCCAGCTCGCCTTCCTTTGCGCTGAACTTGCGCCGCCAACCAGCTTTGACCTCGGCATACGCTTTGACACTCATCTCGAACTTATCAATCTGCTTCCACCGTGTATCGAGCTGTTTCCGCATGTCCGTAAGTTTCTCCATATACCGTCCTTCTACCTCCTTACATCGCTTGTCAAAGTCCAGCTGGATTTGGCTGAGTGCCTTTAGCCGAGTTATCAGATTGTCATGGAAGACGCTGAAATTCGTGAACGGCTTTGTCTCTGCATGCCCGCCTTTTTCTGCGGCACTGGGCATCAATAAAGAAAGAAAAACGGAGAGAAGAACTTACAGGTGTCTTATCGACGCCCATATCTTGTCCATATATTGGTAGATCGTCAGTAAAAGCGTGTTTCTTTCTGTGAGCTGATCCCGGTATTGACTCTCGGCATTCAACAACGACCGCTGGTCCTTCCCTAACCTCGCCTCCAATTCAGTAACTCTTGCCTTGAATGTGGCAACCTCTGCCTCTGACGCGCGTAAATTACTTTGGACCGTGTCCAATTTCTCAGACAGATTCAACCGCGCCTGCGTCTGAGCAGCAAGCTGCATCGACAGCTCCCTATTTTCGCCGTGCAACTTATCCAAATCACTGTCTCTATCGCGACCCTTGCTCTCCCTATCGTTAAGTTCCTTCCTCGCCCGAGCCAACTCATCCTCAACTCGCTCAAGGTCTCGTTTGAGACGATCAACCTCGAGTTGCAAGGAGAACTGTGCGGTTGTGTGCGTCTCTCCGGCACGCTTGGACTCAGACTCCAGCGTCCGCAGAGCAGTCTGAACAGCCTGAAGATCCGTTTCCCTCTGGCTCAAGAGGGACTGTGCGCGTGAAAGATCATTCAGCGCACTCTGGAGCGCACTTTCTTTCGCTTCCAACACTCGTCGCTCACGTCGAAGATCAGCTTCACCTTTCTTCTCGACTTCCTCCAACGCATTTTCCGACCGTTCGCGCGCTTCACGTTCACGCTCTACTTCTTCGACTAATTCTTCGACATGTTGCGCGAGTTCCTCTTGTCGTGCACGATGCGCATGTATTTCTCGGCTGCATGTCTCATATGCTTCGGTCATCTCTTGAAGTTGAGCTTTCACCTGGGATAGTTTCTGCGGCGAGTGAGCAGATAACTTGCAGTAAAGAAAAGAGGAGACGAACCTCTTTGAGTGCGGTCTGAATAGCCTCCAGACGCTCCTTCTCTGCTTCGTCGTCCTCTCGTAGCCGATCTGCTGCGTCACGTATGCGATCCCGCTCATCCTCCAAATTGTAGACCTGTTCACCAAGCTCCTTGACAGCCTCGGTCAAAGTCTCAATTTCGTTATCCTTCTCCTCTGCTTCTTGCTCCAGATGACCCAACGCAGCCTCAAACTTGGTATGCAGATCCTCGGTATTGGCCTCCAGTTCGTTGATATTGAGTCGTAGATCTTTCGATTCAGCATCACGTTCAGCGAGGACCTGCATGTGAATCGAGACGCGAGAAAAGGATAAAAAGAAAAGTGCTCACGTCCCGTAATTCTTCCACTTGACTTCTCGTCTCCTCTACCTCTCCTCGCCACTGCTCAACAATATTCTCGTGTTGAATGACCAAGTTGTCCAGTTCCTCGTTTTTCAAGTCGATTTCGTCGTCTTTTTGCTGAAGCTCGATCAATGCAGCAGCCAGGCGATCTTTGACTTGGTTCAAGTCGTCCTCGACAGCCTCTCTTTGCTCTCTTTCATCGAGCATCATGGCGCGGCTCTCACTCCTCTCCTGCATCTGCGCCTCGTTCCTGTGCTGGAGTTTCTCGATCTTCAAGCTCATCGACTCTATCGATCCAACCAGCTCCTGCTTCTCTTCTTCATAGTCATCTGCCATGTTCTGCATCCGCTGTTGCCACTCTTCATTCGCTGCCTCCAATTCAGCAACGCGCTGCTTCAGCTGGCTGTCCCCGGGATCCCCACCAGACTCCACCATATCCCTTAGACGCTCAATCTCCGCGTTGTTCTCTTCCAGCAAATCTCGGGCGTCCTCCAATTGCTCTTCCAGCTCAGCAGTCCGTTCGTCATGTCCGTGACCATTCTGATGCTGTTGCCGTCGCCGTAATTCTCGGATGTCGCGATCTCGTTCCTCCAGTTTCTCTTCCAACTCTCTTTCTCGACCACGAGCACCACCTGCACCGCGCTGCATCCTCTCCAGCTCTCGCTCGAGTTCAAGTAGGAGTTTCTTCAAACGCTTAATTTCCTGCCCACGCGCCGACAGCTCTATCTTGAGATCGATATTCTGCTTCAAAGCGGCATCCATCTGGTCGGGAGCGAGCTGCGCGAGGCGTTCCTCAAGAAAGTGGCACTTTATCTTGATATCAAAGTTCTCCTTCTTGAGGTGGTCAATGTGCTGCCCCAGTATTAGCAGTACGTCGCGTACATAGGCGCATACCACGGACCTTTTCCTGATCTCTGAGAGTCAGAGCACCCTTGGCACCAGATTTGCGTTTTGCGCGTAGCACAGCTGGCGTCTCGGTGGCGTCCTCACTCCATCGTGGCTTTGAGGTACCTGGAGTGTCCATAAAATCGGCATCCGTCTCATCGAGATAAGTTGACGCGCCAACATTTCTCCGTGAATAATCACCCTTCTGTTGAACAACCGGAGTGGCCAAAGGATTCGCGTTGGACGTATTAGATGGCAGTCGAGGTGGAGAGAAACTGGAGTCGAGTGATCCGAGAGAGATGTCTGGTTGTGATCCAGTGGATTGCAGAGAAATGTCGACCTTGTCGGTCGACATGTATGTCTACGTTGTTGATTAACCTGAACAAGGTGAGATGAGCCGACTTGTGAATATCAACAGAGCGTACCCTGCTACTTGAGTAAATAATATCAGTATCAGTATGTTGCTGTTACATCAAGCAAACGATGGTAAAGGTTAAAGACAGCAAGACAGCCTCATTGAACATGCATGTGTCGCCGGCTTCTGTTCCCAATATGGACAAATAGCTCCTATCCGATTTCATGGGAGCACCAAACTGGTCAAATGGGAAATGCCGGATCAATTCAAACACCGATCGTTCACGGTACTCTGAGCTTAGTCATCGCCTTGTAGGCTCGTTTACCAGCCGGCGTTTCACCCACGTGGCTGCGCTATCACTTTTTCGCAAGCTCACCTCTTCACGTCAAAACATGTCAAACTTCACCAAACAACCAAACAACCGTATACGGAATTTGCATTACGAGGTGTAAGCTTGCGAACGTCGACTGGCTAGCGAGTCTAATCGCCTTGGTGTTGGCTTGTACAGGTCCAAAAAAAATCGCTCTACCATGATAACGACAAGGACGCACTCAGTATTCCGTTCGCTCTCCTGGTCCATCCGATTTAAATCGTCCTCGGCTAGACCCGAAAATTCCTCTTTTTACAAACCCCTTCTTGGGCGATATGATTACTTACCATGCGAACTCTTCCGGATAAACGCCTCCAAGAAAATTATCTTGCGGGACTACAACAAGCAAATTGAGTCGGGAAGGATTTCCTACGATCTGCGTACACACGAGGATGGCTTGGTTCATCCTAAGCCTGGTCCTATGTTTGAAGGTGCGTCACAAGCTTTTTCATCTTCGGTGGTGACATCAACACACTATTTACAAGGTCCTAATGGTGCATCTGTTCGACCCAATGGTGCTTTCTTACAAGAACTTGTTCGTACCTTCCGAGGGAAGAATACCGTGATATATCGCCTACCAGAAGGTATGCCAGAGTCAATCTTACTGGCCGTTTTTTTATATTATATCAGGTACAAAACTTCCCTCGGACCTTGTTTGCCTGCACGAACATACAGATCATCACTCGATACAATGCGCCGTACCCATGACGCTCCGTGAACTTAATGCCAAAGTCACTGAATTTTGCCATAAGTATGGAGAGGCGATGACCAAGGAGGAGTTCGTCGAGCGTTATCCATTCATATGATCTGTAGGGATGCCTTGCGTGTACATGGATTGAGTTTCCATAGCTCCTTTCTCCGTTTTGATAAACTTGGTTTGTGTACTCGATGCTGCGAGTGATATGGATTACTCAACATAGGTATTGGGGGCTGTTCTCAATATTCGAATCGTGAGAAATAAATTCACAGAGGGTATCAAAATCACCGCGCATAAGGATGGAAACTATGCTGTCCTCTCGTCATCACCCGCGACGGCCCGACCCCCCCACCCGTCGTCACCATTCTTCCCACCGGTCCGGCCACCCGATTCATCCCAGGCATGCCCCCGCGAACGCCCATCCCGCCACTCATCCCGCCCATTGGCCCCATTCCGAGCCTCATCCCGCCCATCCCGTTCATCGCCCCCATTCCCATCCCGCCCATCATCCCCATCCCCGCCATCGGGTGGAACTGGCCCATCATCATTGGGTTCATGCTCATCATCGGCATTCCACTAGGGAGCATGGGCATCCGCTGATACATCATCGACATTGGGTTTGGCTGCTGTGAGATAAAGGGCATCGGCGGCCGCGCCTCCTGAGCGTTTGTAAACGACATATTGCCCATGTTGCCGACCCCTGCATTTGCATTGCGTGCTTGTTCGCGCTGACTCCGCGGTTGCGCCGTCTTGACTTCAATCTAACATGCCTGTTAGGTCAAGTCCAAGAATAATAATTATCACTTTACCTGCTTATCGTCCAGGACTAGGTTTTTACCCACCAGCTGATCCGAATTGGCTGCGTCCTCAAACGTCACAAAGCCAAACCCTTTTGACCGTCCGGATTCACGATCAAGCATGACCGTCGCGTCCACGACTTTACCATAAGCGGAAAAAAACTCCTTCATCGAATCCGACGTTGTCGACGGGGCTAGACCACCAACGAAATAGCGTGTGTTGCGAAGGTGTTCTTCACGTGGGATCGCGCGTTTGGGATCAATCTAAAAGGTGAATACCTGCCCAACGAAAAATTAAACAAACATACCGCTTTCCCATCCAAAAAGTGGTCTTGCGCCGTAACAACTTGTACTGCTGACGGATCTTCAAAGGTCAAAAACGCAAAACCCCTCGACGTCCCTGACGGGTCTCGCATAATAGTCACCGCATCGACCTCAAAGACGGCGGGGTAAGAACACGAGAAACAACGGGTGCAGCTAGCTACCTTTCCAAACTGAGAAAAGTAATCCCTTAGCCCTTCTGAAGAACACGCACAGAGTAAAGGGATCAGCACTGTATAGCATAGATATGTATAAAGATAGAAATAAGTACCATCTGTTGTATCCCAATTCAGTCCTCCAATGAACATTTTGCTACATGTGCCACCACGGTATTGGAGAGTATAGTGATCGTAGAATAGACAGAGAGTAGAGAGGTAGTAGCGTGAGCATAGGCGAATAATTAGTACACAAAAAAAAACAAGGAATGAGGAGGGGAGTAGTAATATGTACGACGGCGTGATAGTATCATAGACCGTGTCCAAGTAACAACAAAGGAAGCAGGCTTACCCCGCATCATGCATTTCGGAAGGCTTTTTTCCAAAGATACTGTCTGTCATAGTAGGTATTGACGATGGACCTGCCTTGGGCGCAGGCTGCCTTTCTTGGCTGGGAGTCTGCTGATACGACGAGAACTGCTGTGCTATCTGGGCGGAATACGACAGTGACCCTGACGAGCTTTGTGGCTTGGCGGGAAGAGAGCTCGATGTGGTTGGTGAGGGTTCATCTGGTATTGTAGTTATTGTCGTCGCCGTCGTCGCGTTCGACATAGGCTGATCCTCGGGTTCTTCCATGGGAATGACAAACTCGGACTCCTCATCTCCATAAATATCTACAATTTCCATCAGACACCAGTAGATGGCATACAAGGAAACATACCGCCATAGAGGTCCGAGTCGATGGCAGCTATCTTGTTCGACATGTTGGTCGTGAAGAAGGTTGTGTCAACTGTCACGGTCACACTTAGCCTCGATGCATTGTTCGGTTTCGGCATGGTTGAAATGTTATTGTACAGTACGATAGTCTCTCACTAAATCCTCTTATCTAATGTACACCGTTTACAACCAAAGCATGTCCTTTTTCTAGCCTTTGCCTCGTCCTCTCGGCTGCTGCATCGTACACAAAATGCACCGGATGAGCATTATGCCACCGCACATCGCGACTATCGTCCGAATCCGAGTCGTTCCGGTCTTCAACCGGAAACTCGTCCCTGTTCTCGTAAAAGAGGTCGTCTGGATCGAAGGGGTTATCCGCTTCTTCTGCTTCTATTACTCTCCGTTTCCCAAGTGCTTTGGCGCTAGGCTTGACGGGTGTCTCCACCGAGTCGTCGCTTGACGAAGAATACGAATCTGATCCATTGGCCAGTGTCGCGATAGTCAGTTCCACATTCGGTGAAGAAGTCCGAGAATGCACAGATGTTTGGGTTGGGGACCTTGGGCCATGAGGCGCGGGTGGCGGAGCCAGGGTCTGTGCTGCTGAAACATCAGAATGAAGTAGCGATACTGGTCGAGAACGCGATGAATGAGCCGGAGATGGACTGCGTGATGATGACCCGCCGATATGGACATCAGCCATAGCCGATAGCAGTTCTTGCTGTTCCAATAGCTGCTTTTGCTGCAAGAGACGTCATCAAAAAGTCATCAAACAGGTGCTAAACCTTACTTTAGGATCCATCCGTACATCTCTACGGCTGTTTTCTTCCGCCTCGCGCTCCAACCCTACTCTTTCAAGGTCATCATACTGTTGCAGAGCATCTGCAATCTCTTCATTGGCTCCAAGCAAGGCTGCTAACAGTTGCTCCTCCGTTGTCAGCGGTACTGGAGCGTCGTCGAGGAGAGAGTTATCTGATAGTGTGCGCTTTCGTTGTTGCTCTGCCCTGGATCTTTCGGCACCAGCGGTTGCCCAAGGAATTTGAGCGTAAATGATTTCTTGGGATTGCCGACATTTCAAATAAAATTCCTAGCGTGGCTGTTAGCACGGTTTCGGTCGGCGGTCGTGAGGGGCGACCTTACCTGTATGACATCCTTCTCGCGAAGATCTTCGGGGCGTGCAAGCGCCAAAGCCTGGGAAAGCAAGCTGGCATTACCCTGTCCGATTTTACATTCTTGGAAAAGACGTTTAATATCTTCCTCTGGTGGTATGATACGATTCCGCGTGGGTGATTTGCGTTTCCGGTGATTATGCGTTGTACGAGGCACCGGGTCTTGAGCAGAGACTGGATTCTCATAATGAGAAAGTCTATTATTGACGGGAGGGCTGAACATGGCGTCATCGGTATCAAACGGGATGCCCTGCAAGATTCAAGCTTAGTTTCGAAAATATGAAACACAGTCAAGACACGCGCCTCGTCGGGTTTTTCTGGGGATTTGACCTTTCGCCAAAGTGCCCTGAAACCAGTGTCCTTTCCTAGGGGAGACAAGAGTGAGCCCTGAACGAGTGGATTGGTAAAGGCTCACTTGTTCCGCTGGCGTATGCGGCAGCAGCAACAACGTCCATCACTCGTTCACGAACGACAGGTGACGTTCTCGGAGATGTTATAACATCTTCCAGTGTGTCGAGAAACTTTTTTGACGTTGACTGTGAGATGAATGTGTCGGTAGAATTGCGTAGCATGATGGCCCATAGCTGGAAAGGGATGATTGGATATAATTGAGAGACAGAAACGAAAACATACCCTTGCGGCGGATAATTGGGCGGAAGGTTCGCCATACCTAAAGACGAATTGATGGATGGGAAGAAAGAAAGAAGAAGCGAGCAACCGACTTGAATTCTCGTCTTAATGCACGGACAGCCTCTTTCGCATTGGTGTCACTGGCTGAAGAGCGCTCACAGACTTCAAGTACCATGCTCCAGTCCTCCGAGGCGGTAGCAGTGAGGAAACCTAGACATGTTAAGTACGAGATGAATACGAGAAACAAGCTGGGTAACCTATCATCCTAGTGATAGTGGGCGGGTCATCGTCTCTTAGGCTTTCATGATGCTTGTCCTTTGTCCAAAAGCGATTTTTCCTGTCGGAATGGCCGTGGTCAGAGACCGATGAATCATTGTTGTTGTGAGCGGTGCCATCGAGGCTGTGAGGATCAAGAGCTCTGAGTATGCCCAAGGCTGGTGTCAAGGCAGACTGTTTCTTCTTCCCTGCTGCAGTGAAAGGTGAAGGGGATCTTGGTGCCGGTATTGGAGGTGAAGCGCCGGGTGGTAAAGAACTAAAGGACGAATTGCGAGAAGGAGATAGGCCTGGAGCGCGTGGCTGGTCATTAGTGTCGACGACCTCCCAACGGTCTTCGTCAGAGGTCGGATGCCTGCTATCCCTCTGATTTTGCAGAGACGGGGCGCTGTGCTGGTATAATGCATGCTGCTGGTGAATCGGAGTCGAAATCGATGGGTGCTGGTCCTGTTGTAGATGAGTATTTGGCTAGTCAGAGGTAGCTGGGAACAACCTCTTGCTGGTCTTTTATCTTTGCTGGCTTGGTCTTGTCTCTTCCAAATAGTTTCTTCATGTCGTGAGCTCCGTGTAAGAAGGAAGACTGGTAAGTAGGAGACCAACAGAGGCTATGTTCAGCACGTGGGAGATTAGATCGAGTCTAAATTAGGTAATTACGGGCGAATGTCCTTCGGCACGTGCCTCGCCAAAAATGACACGAGCTGCCGCGTCGAATGCAGGCACAGTAAACTCAAACGTCGCCAAACATCCCTGCTCGACGTCGACTCCGTTCAAGTCGTACGGCGTGCAGCAAGATACCAGCACCATATTTATCCCTCTTTCCGCTACTTTCTTCATCCATTCCAGCTGCCAGCGCGACCTATCCGCGTTCCTCAAGACAAACACGATACCAGACACGTCGTTCCAATCGATTGGATCGTCACTAGGATACACGACATGCACGCATTTTGTTCTCTTGGAGATGGACTGAGCCAGTGCAGCAAATGATGGTCCAGCGGTGTTTCGGACTCTGCCAGCACCGTCCCTCAAAACTCCGTCAGCGTCATCGATGGCCTTGTTCAAGCTTTCTGGTCGAGGGGTGTAGCACACGACGGTGCCAGTAGCTTTGAGCCAGGTGCCGTTCTGGAGGATAGCAGTGGACTTCTGGTACGCCTCCTCGCTGAGCTTTTTACTCTCAGCCTTGACCGTGTTCCAGTCGTCTGCAGGAAGAGACCAGTCAGTGAACCGGTCCTTCAAGACCTTCACTCTATCGCCACTGCCCTTCAAGTGGTCGACGCTGATTCTTCCTGCCTGGACCGCGTCGTACACACGTTCAATGGTGCCCACTTGTCTCGCCATCGTATGACATATCATCACGATATCTGCACCTGCCTCCAGTGCGCGAACCGCGCCCTCTTCGACGCCACAGCCACCCTGGTTCGGTTCAGCAATAGCATCCATTTCCAGGCAGTCCGTCACCACCACGCCCTCGAAACCCAGATCTTCTCGCAGCCACCCCGTTGTAATCTGCCTCGACAACGAGCAAGGTATATCCCCGCCGGTCACCAAGGGCAGCGCCATATGTCCCGTCATTATAGTAGCACACTTCTCCTCAATCACCCTCCGGAATGGAATCAGTTCCGTCAGCTCCATTTCCTCTCGACTTTTGTTGATCCGCGGCAAGGCAAGGTGTGAGTCAACATGGGTATCACCATGCCCAGGAAAGTGCTTTGCAGTAGGTGCGACATTCGACGACATGATGCCCTGGGTCGCTGCTACAACATATTTTGCAACCTCCTCGGCATCTACAAATTGTTATTGCAATGATATCCACGACACATCATGACGCACCATTTCCAAAGGATCTCACTCCAATAACCGGATTTTTCATGTCGGAATTCACATCCACTACGGGACTGTATGCCCAATTGACGCCAAGCAATCTCAACTCCTTTCCGGATGCTGCGTACACATCTCTGGTCATCTCTGGCGAGCCCGTAGCTGCGAGAGCCATGGCACCGGGGCTAGGATGATCAGCTCGATTATCGCCAACATCAAATTACCTACAATTGCGTCGCTGCCGTGGACGAACTCATCGCCGACACCATACCATTCTCCTGATCCGTTCCAATCAGCAATGGCCTTTCGTGACCTGCCTCCTTCGCGATCGTTTGCAGCTCCGATACCATCCTCTTAATCTGCTCAGCATCTACGTGAGGCTAATGAATGGACGGACATCTCTGCAGCTCAGACACACCCACCCTTTACATTCCTTTTCATCAGAATCACGCTTCCCACAAAGTACGTCTGTATCAGTCTCCGTATGTCATCGTTCACTTCTTGTCCATGAAATCCCACTACGAAATGTTGCCCAATCTCCCGTCGGAGTGAATCTGAGAGCATTGTAAGGAAGATCGGTCCGAACTCCCGTAATCCTAGATGGCTAAATGGCACATCGTCACTGGTTTCTTCGTTCCGGATTTCCGAGCTCCTGCCCATCTTCTGAATCTCTTATATGCCACTGTAGCAAACATACAATATCGAACCACGGTAAAGAACATTATATGAAAGAAGCATCTTTGGTGAGTTCTTGAACTGCGTCAACGTCAATCCATAACTGAGTCAGAACGCAATTCTTCTATTCCTTTTCCTCCTCTTTATCCAATATTCCATCCTCGCGTTCTTTTTCGTAGTCTTCACTTTCCGCTTTGCCACAACCCTCTGTACTCCACTCCAGGATGAAAATTCTTCGTGATCTATCACTGTTTTGGCCTGCTGAGAAACTCCCATCTCGAAGCTGTGAAAAACTCGTCTGTTCCTCAGAATATGTGCTGGTTTCTCGATCCGGTACGTCCTTGCTAGCGAACGATCACGGGATGGGGACCTTTGTCCTCTCTTTCCTACTCTTCTTCGGGCGTTTGTCGGGCTTCGCGTGACAAGCGAGGACGAAGTCGCCTTTGGAAGCGAACGTGAGCTAGATCGACCCTGAGCCCTGCATGTCCTATTGAATAAGCAATTCTTTCTTTATGAAGAGTACATACACTGAAAAATCCCACTCGTTTATGACCTCCTTCCTGTGCTTGACTTGGCTCAATAAGACCGCCCTGGACGATAATCCATGAGCTATTTCACCGTCGTTATCTATCCACTTACAAAAGTGCGACAAGGGCAGCCAAGATTCCGAAGACCGTCACGTACACAGGATTACTCTTCATACCTCCCAGTATAGCCACAACGGTAAACAAAAATACTAAGATTTGCAGAATGTGCTGAGTTCTTCGTTGCCGACATAGAGTAGAAACGTTGATCTTCATGTCTCTAGTGCGCAGAGAGGTGGTAAAAGTAAGGAGCCCTTTGTCTTTCGGTCAGGAATTAATTAAATGCTGCGCCTCGCCGCCTTGCATTGTAATGCATAAAAACAAGCTGTGAACGGTTATCCTCACGCAATACACCTATCTCTCACGGTAACTTTCTAGATACAGAGGAGTCCCATGAAAACAAGACATCAAAATCCTATAAGGCTAAATCAATTACAGCACCGGCCATTCATGAAGCGCCGATCCACTGCTTCATCTGATAGTGGGCGCGTACACTAATACTAGATCCTATTTGCCTGAGTCAGAAGACCTCTGTCGAAATTCTAGCCTTCATGCGAGTATACCCCAAAACAGTGGGAAGGAGTTGTTGCATATTCACCCTTTGCACAACCACCACATGCATCCCAAACTTTCCAGACGCAAAACGCATGAACGTTCGGGATCTACAGACAAAGTATATATCAGGGAAACAGGGGAAAATGCGAATAAGACCTACGCCACGATTCTCTGTTTCTCACCACCCGAGAGCTGGAGGTTCTTATTGAGCCTTTCCAGTATAGCCTGTAACGGATGCTCCTCGTTCTCTGGAATGCCGAACCCATATGCCTCGGTCATCGCCGCTAGCATCGTGTCTTTTCCCTCTGTCAGTTTGGCCAAACAGTGCGCTGCTCCACCGAGCTCGGCAGCACGGTCAATCATCTCTATGTCTCTTACATGCTGAACACACCCTACACCAACATTCTCACCGAGCGAAACGGGGAAGAGCGAGTGGTCTTGCGTCAGTATGGCTGTCTCCTCTCGAAGCTCAGACATTCGGTACTGAGATATTGGTATGCCATCTACAATGAGTGAATCGGGGCCCGACGATGGATCATAAAGGCGCGCGAGGAGCTTGATAATTGTGGATTTACCGCTGCCATTAGCGCCGACGATTACAACGAGCTGTCCGGCTTTGATGGAGAGGTTGATATTTGACAAGGCAGGTTTGGTGGATTGCAACCCGGGGTAGGAGAAGGACAGATCACTGAGTTCGGAGAGTAATTAGGTACGGCGCCGCTCTAGCTGAAAAAAGGGGCTTACCGAAGCTCGAAGGACATTCCTTGTAACTTCTCCGAGGGGTAGGACAAGCTTCCATCTACGAGTTTATTACTGATCTTATCTGCTTCGTAAAGCATCCTCAGCTGTTCGCATTGCGTTCAAAACTGGGCTACGTTGCGCAGGATTCTCTGCAGTGACCGTTCCAAGGTTTCAGACGACTGAGTCAGGATGGCGATGGAGGATATAGAGAATTTTGATGGTTTCATGATCACTGCCAATGAGTAGTAAATCTAGAGGGCATGAGGTTAATATGGTCTAACCCATTTCTGAAAAGGATGCGATATTATACCATAGGAATATCCCCCATGACGGCTTCAAATATTCTCATCAAAGGGTCAGTGCGTCAAGAGTATTGGACTTCAGGCCAGTCATCAGATGTGAGTCCTAGTGATGACGTCGCCTTCTGATACTCTATGCGAAAGCAAGTATTAATATTGTGCGGAACAGGCAAAAATACATAGGACAGATGTACCTCTGATAATATAACTGACAAGGTCGCTTCCCAAGACTTCTGACCTATATGCATCGGAGGCCATCTGAACCAAACTTTTCATCCTCTGGAAGAACTTGTTATCCGTGTAACCGATGTGGGCTGAAAATTGTAAATAATCAGACGAAGTCATCAACTCAAAAGCATACCTTGGTTGTATAGTGATCTCGTACCAAAACCGTGATACAGAGGTTTTGCTATGCATAAAACCGCGAATAGCGGGGATTCGGTTGCGCGACAAGCCTGCACGATGAGAGCCAGCTCGCTCCCCGTGGTTACTATTTGCTGAAGGGAACACACCACGTCTTCGAATGCTCTCCATGCATGTTGTGCAGAGGCGTTGGATTTACTTTTAGTTTCTACGATAGAGTAAGATAGTTGTTATCGTATTATCGGCGACAAAAATACCTTGGGAGGTGGGATTGTCGATGCGCAAGCGAGCTAAAATAAACACATCTGTGAGATGATGCAGACACTTCCTAACTGCTTTGCATGAGGTGCAGCTCAAAATGTGTCGTAACACGAGTTCTCAAGACTGGATGAATACCGCCACTGGACATTATTCAGTACGCCGTCATACCAAGAAGAAACATCCGGAAGCATACCTTGCCCATGACAGGATTGCGGCCAGGACAACGCAACATAGACGCATTGCCACGGCACCCAGGATTGCAAAAGAATCCAAAGTCCCAGAAATGAGTCCCACCTCGGTCTGATAATTGGGATGAGCCACGCAGAATGTAGAGTATGGAATGATACGTACGATCCGCAAAAGACGACTGGAGAGGTAGAGCAAAATAGCAGATTCTACGCCCGACCATATTTTTTCCAAGATAAAGAGAATCGATAACGTCGGGTCTAAGGTATAAACGTCGATAGCGAGTCTTCGAAAGAGGGGAAACGCCAGCAATAGGTTGTTCCATCTGCTTCGATAATCCCAGCGCGCATTGTTCAACAGCACAACTTTCCATACGCCAAGCTCGACTGTGCGTGTTTCTGGCACTGCAGTCTTCATCATGGTAATGACATCACGGAATGCCTTTCTCTTCTTGATTGTCAATTGATATGTATCATCTTAAAATGTGCCGGTTTACATTTAAACTAGTGAAGTTCGAACAAGTTCGAGAATTGAGTTTGAAAGACTTAGAGTGATGCCGCACCGGCAAACCACGTGAGAGGACGCGTGGCGGAGTTTCAATTGAAAGTCTGTTTCTTTTTTTGGGCTTTTCACCTCCTACCACCACTTGCCAACTTTCCCCGTTTTCTCGTCATGCCTCTGCTTGCGCCGTCGTATTCTCCTTCGAATGTCGATTTACCTGTACCTGTGTCTACTCAGCGACCGATAACAAATACCCCAGCGGCGAAAACAGTCGAAGAGAGTGGGGGCAAAGACGCTGTTGTTGAGGAAAGCAAAATTCCATCGGTACAGCTCGACATGGACTCAATAACGGATACTCTTGCTGCAAGTATGGCCTGCAGTCTACTAGGGCATGTCCTTTTCCTGAAAAATCAGGTCCCTTTGTAAGTTGAGTGTGCTTGTGGAATCGATCGGTGACTGAAGGATGCTATAAGACCTGTTCCACAGCTGGCTCGGATATCGATCACGGGAAAGGTGTGCAGTCTTTTTATAAATATGCCTTGAACTTACAGAATGCTAGGTTAACGTCCGTACTACGAAATTGCGGACAGAGTTACTGGATTCTTTCGACACGTTGCTGTCGCATCTAGGGACGACGTTCACCGCTTTATCTACTGCTTTTGCTCGATGTTTTCCTCAAGAACAACGGCCTGGAACCGTACATACAAGTAGAGCGTACATGGCGATCTTGATGGGACCTAGCATCGGATCCGCAAAGTCAAAGGTCATGTTGGCAGTGGATGGTTTGGAGGCCAAGGTATGGGGACAGAGAGATGATCTACGTCTGGAGGACGAAGGTGGAAACAGTGAGAGCGATGACGATGAATGCGATAACGATGACGATCAAGAAAGCCAGAGCAGTGACGGTGACGCAGAGGGACCCTCCGACTCGGACGAGAGTGATGCGGACGACGACGAGAACGACCGGGCATCTTCGCCACCACCACCATCCGCCTTCGCCGAGGAGCAACGTATCCTTCGGACTGCTGACAGACTACTCTCGCGAGCGCTCGTATCGGCGGACTGCGATGGAAACGGATTGGCATCTGAGATCAGTAAGTCATTCTCTACGCCGCATCTTTTTGTCATTCACGAAGACCACTGTAGGTCCTACGCAGACACATATATTGATTCGCGCCCCAAGACGATTTGTCCATCCCTCGTGGATACCTCGACAGAATGTTACGGCCTCTATGGATAACTTTCTGGAGCAGTTTATCGGGGTCGCAGGGCATGGACCGAGGACCAGCAAGAAAAAGACGAAGGTCGAGGGTTTGTGGGTCGCGTGTCAAAAGCCGAGTACGGATCTGGGAACCGACGTGAAGAATGAGGAAGATGAGATGATATGGTGGAGCTGGGACGGTAAGCTTGTAGGGTTCGCTGGTTGGTAATGGTGTATATACTCATTGCGTTGATTAGTTGTACGGACATCGAGCATCATTATACCTGTATACATATACCTTTTTGACACTATCTGGATAATTATTCCTGCTACAACGGCTCGATGACATCTGAAGTGGAACTTCATAGTACATGTTGTTATTGTTACAGGCTCCGTTGTTTTGTTATGTCTTCATTTATTCTCCGGTGCTGTCGAGTCTTACTACATAACACGCTATATAAGATCCTGCTTCCTGGAATTGTAAGTGAATAAGAAACTATTGACTACGCCTCCAACAGAACAACTTGTACATCTTTATCTCTAGGCATCATCAGCAACTCGCCGTCGAAGGCAATCTATACGTGACCCAGTACCGCTAGAGTAAGAGTTTGAGGAAAGGCTTAGATTAAAACTACCTTCTTCTGGCGCTTTGCTGCGCGTAACGTTCCGTTCAATGCCTCCACTTTGAAAGCAAATCATGAAGACATTTTATTTCGACTCGGAAAAACCAGACATACGGGTATTGGCGGTCTTATCAAAGAGTACGCCGTAGGAAACACTGCTCTTCCCATCGGTGTTGAGAGAGCCATGCTCCTTTATGGCCTCTGCACATAATCGTCCGATACTTCAGGGTTATCGACATAATGATCATAAGGGAATATCTCACCTTGGAGGATTTCAATCTCGCCAGTAACGTTGACTAGAGCACATGATTAATCTTTTGCTGGTCATTACTGACTGAAGTCATTTCCTCACCCATGATTGTTGGAAGAAGGAAGGAAAGGAGGATTTTGACAAATCACGATCAGATCACGCCGAGATCTTTACTGCTTCTTTTCTTTTTGACTTGATAAGATTCTTTTGTTTATTTCCCAGCGATTGATAAGCCTGACAACTATTTCTACCGCGACGTGTCCTTTAGAACGAAAGAGTCTGGCCAGCGTTCGACTGGACGTACGACGCAACCTTGCTGGTGGCAAGGAGCGTGTAAGAGTACCCGAGGCTTGAAGCAGAGATCGTTCCTGTTGGGGCGGTATTCTACCGTCGTCACCAAAGTCTGTGTGATAGTACTGTTTAGACAAGTGTAGTGGGAAATGAAGGATTAACCTACCATTTCCAGAAGCAACGGCGTAGCCGTTATCAGTGGAGTAGATAGCATCTTCAGTGCCTGTTGAATCGTAAGTATGGATACTGCTAGCACTGGGAAACTGGATAGTTGCCGGTGAAAACCTTGTTCTCGATAAGGAGTTGTGCCTCATCTCGGGTGTTGATGCCGTCGTTCAGATCGACATAGCTAAAAATGATGAGCTTACATCTCGAACCTCATAAGAGCGGCTCACAGCGGGATCAATAAGGCTTAAGTCTGATGGCGTTTAAATGTTGCAAAGATGCACCATGGCAGTTCGCTGCGGACAGCAACGACTACATCCATACGGTTGTATCGCGGATAATCGAGGTGAAGCCAAACGCCAAGCTTTTGATATAGTCAAAATGGCGAAAACTAGTTTTATTGTGCCTCTATGGCGTGACAAGATACATAGACGTAAATTCACCTTGGATGAAGGATCAGGATGGGTGAAGCGAAGAATGGCAATGACACTCACGTTTCATTCTCTTTTGTCTTTCATCATGGCTTGTACGCCTCCCACCCTATATTCTCTAAGCGCTCAACTTTGCCTAGGACCTCCTTCTCCAACCCCTTTAGGTAGCCGTTCATCTCTTGAATCAGATGAGGCTGGCCAGCGGAGAGAATCCTCACGGCGAGTAAACCAGCGTTGGTGCCGTTGTTGATGGCTACAGTCGCTACCGGGATACCTCGCTGAGTGCGTATGAGGGAGAGGGTAATCAACCCAGGACAGGGCGAAAACTCACAGGCATTTGGACGATACTATGGAGAGAGTCAACACCATCGAGCGAACTGCCCTTGACGGGCACACCGATGACGGGCAGAGCAGTCATGGCAGCGACCATCCCGGGGAGATGAGCAGCACCCCCTGCTCCTGCTATGATTGCGCGGAGACCGCGTGACGAGGCCGAGCGGGCATATTCCACGAGTCTGTCGGGAGTACGATGCGCTGAGACTATGGTGAGTTCGTAGGAGATATTGAACTTGTCCAGGATGCGCGCGGCGGGAAGCATAACTGGGAGGTCTGAGTCGGAGCCCATGATGACCCCGACGAGGGGGTCCTTGTTGGAGTGGCCAGACCCGGGACTTGGAGGGACAGGAGTGTATTTTTCGAGCTCCTCGGGGGTGCTTCCTGGGGTGACATCAAGTAAGGGACGGAGTTTGGCACAGAGAGACGCGTCTGAGTTGGCGACGATGGTTATGTGACCCATTTTGCGGCCTTTCCGACATTCTGCCTTGCCGTAAAGGTGAGTAGAAGCGCCGGGGACCGTCAGGGCAACATCTGTGATGCAAGTGATACTGGACATGGAGGAGGAAGAACCGATCAAGTTTAACATCGCGGCAGAAGGGACTTTGAGGTCCGTGGAACCCAGTGGTAACGATAGAATACTCCGTAGATGGTTTTCGTATTGAGACGTTTCGCAGGCTTCTATAGTATAATGACCAGAATTGTGTGGCCGTGGAGCGATCTCATTGACGTATACATTACCTGCAAAATGAGATCAGGAAATCTCTGAGGAATCAGGTGAATGCTCACCATCTTCCATGAGGAACATCTCGACGCCGAAAACACCAGCGCCCTCAAAGGTCGCCACTGCAGCTTCGGCAACTTTTTGAGCTCTCGAAGAGAGATCAGGGTACCGGCTACGGAGAGGTGCGAATACCAGGTGACAGACGTTCTCTTTGTGAACGGTTTCTACAGCAGGATACGACCGAACCGTCCCATCCGCCGATCGTACCACCATGACAGCGATTTCCTTGATGAACGGTACCCACTTCTCTGCATATAGCGGCCGTCCACCTAGGGCGGCGAGAGCATTTTCCGCGTCTGATATGTTGCGAAGGACGTAGTTTCCCCGACCGTCGTAGGCCAGTGTTCGACTTTTTAGCATGAGAGGGAGACCGAGTTCGGTTGATGCAGAAGTAATAGCATCAACAGACGATTGAACCTCTCTGAAAGCTGACACCCGGAACTCCATGCTCCCGGAGATGCTCTTTTTGGCGGAACTTGTCTTGTATTATCCGGATCGCTCGAGGGCTGGGATGGATAGCCAAGCGACCACTTGTTGCAGCAGCAAGGTTCTCCAAGGCATCGACATCGATGTGTTCGATTTCTACGGTCAGGACATCTACTTTCGATGCGAGTTCGCGTATCTTTTGAGGATCGGTAAATGAACCATCGATATGCGAAAGATTGCCGCTGTGGGCGATGACTTGCTTGGCAGGTGCAGAATCTCCAACATCGAGAATAACTACAGGAATATTTAAAAGAGACGCCGATGCGGCTAGCATGCGACCCAGCTGGCCACCACCTGCGTGAAGTAGATATTTAGGGTTATTCCAGGAATATTGCAGAGAAGTCTGTGGAATGTTAAGTAACCTGCTGACAGATTAATAGTAGGACTTACTCCCACCAAGGATCCCGACGACTTTCTTCGACATTGTTACAGAGATGAAGAGGAGGGCGGGGGGGGGGGGGGGGGGGGGGTGGGGGGGGGGGGGTGGTGAAAGAATTAATGATGTCCAAGAATCGCAGTGACGGAAATTTTGTATTTGGTACCAAAGGTGATGTCATTGGACCCAAAGATAGATAGATAGATAATAGATAACCGGGCGAGGTCCCAAAAAGGAACGCCGGGGTTCTGTGCCGACACAAAACGTGCCACAGACTACACACTCTCATGCCGCTGTGATATCCTCAGTTGCCAGCCAAGAACGTCTCACGGATTTGAAGGAAATGCAGGGACAAGCAAATGCAATATCATAGGGAACAAGAAGAACATTGCATGTACTACCCAATGTCTGTTAACGACAACCACAATCTGTTGGGATTTGCAACTTCAGGCTCATACTAGAAGATTCCCGAGGCTTCAGCTTACTCATTTGTCATGATACTTGGATATATTTAGTACTTTAGGTAGAATATTCTAGATACTTTCTGTAGTATATAAGGAGCTCATTAGAAGCTCTAGTAGCTAACAATTAGGTATTATTCCTACTGCAAGCCTCTCACTGCAATAGTTCCAACACAATCAATACTCGAGGTGTTCACATATCTTCTGATGAAGTCATGCCAGTGCAAAGAGTCAGTGGTGGTATGTAAACAGGGACACTTCGGAAGATTTTGAAGACATGATGAACAAACTGTGCTAAAAGAGGCTCTACAGCAGGTAACTGCAGCAGGCAAGCCAAGCGGTCGTCTACTCCCAATGTGCTCCAAGCATCTCGCAAATGAGGACATATCTGAAAGATATCCACCAAAAAATGCTGTTGTAGGGAGGTGAGACCAGTTGTGACTTGACAGAAGCAGCATAAATGCCAATCCTAAGGAATGTATAGGCAGTAACACTCTGACCACTGAAGGACTTTGACACTGAGTACATGGGAGGACATGAGCAGACGTGTGAGTGCTTTCCAATGCACTGGGATCAGTACATTGAGATAAGAATGATGAGACAACTTGTTCTTGCGAAGGTGCAAGCCAATGACTCAAGGAATATACTTCATGGATAGATGAAGCATGGAGCCCTTTACCATGTGGTTGATGTCATCATTTAGACAATGCAAACAACCATTTTCAACATCAGTGATGAGAGATGATATCGATGATATAGACAGGTTGTGGTAGTTGAGGTTAATGGAGGGAGCCAACCATTTAAGGACATGCTGCAAATCTCCAAACCAAGAAGGCTTCCTAGTTGTGTGAAGGGCCAAGGACTCATGCAATGCAAGAGCACCAAGATGATCATCAGGCAGCTCCAAGGGCACTTGATTTATAGCTGTAGGGTTTTTGTGGGAGTTGAATTAATTAAATTAATTCAAAGAGAGGAGAGAGAAGTTAAATATTGGACTACTGAGAGGTCCCTATCCTCTGTCAGTGTTAGTATATGTCCTAAGACCCCAAATATACTGTCTTGTGAAGCCCTTTATTTTTTCTTTCATGCTTTGCACAGTAATACATCACAAACATTAAAATACGTGTTTTCAGTCTAATTATTAGCACAGATTAGGTCCTGATTAGACCTGAACTGGTCCCTCTTCTTATGAGCCAAACCTCACTAGAGAGACCTGTAAAACTCATGCCAATCATGGCATAGACATTTATGGGTGTTGCCGGTGTCTGAATTGGGAAGGTGTTTCTGGATTTGGGTTTTGGTGTAGCTATGATCATTTACATGTTGCATCGCATATATACCTCTTGTCTGTCTGTTGACAGCTTTGTATCTCATCATGGAGCCTCAGAAAAGGTACCAAGATGTATTTAGATTAGAAAAATTCACTCCCAACTTGAATTCCTTTCCCAATCCCATCCAAATGACCCCTGACTTGTTCTCCCAGCAATCAGTCTGTGCTGTTGTTGTGCCTGCAGCCTGTTTACACATGTAATTTTGCAATCTGACACATTATACATGCATACTGAGATACAGTGAGTGAGTGGGCTAAATGGATGCATTGACACTGAAACTATGCAATGTATGGAGACGATAACTAGTGGTATCATAAGAAGTATGTGAACATTAACAGGACTTAGCCATAGCATTGTACCTGATGGGCATGCTTGACAGGAAGGCCACACCATAAACCCAGTTGCTGCATGATACGACTAGAGCTCACTGTTATGGGAGCTGATAAACCAACTCAGATTGTATAAGGATTGATGATATTTAGCAAGCTCACTAACTATGATGCATCATACCTGAAAATCTGGGGAAATCCTTATGTGAGATGACAAATATCACCAGTGCAAACTTGGACAGTGGGTTTTGGCCAAAGTCCACAAGCCCACGTTCCATTGTCCAGAGTCCCATTGTTCAAAGACTCACTTATTGCCATGTCTATGAGAAGCCTCTGTGAATCCAAGAAAGAAGTCCTGAAGGACATATGCCAGAACTGATAGTTCCATATGCCTAGACCTGTCGGTCGTCAGAGAACAAGCCTGTGGGTGTCAGGAGAGCATCTCTTGGCATGCGTTTAGTGAGCTCACTATAGAAATGAGACTAAAACTGGGAAGTCCGACTCAGATGCTCAGTAAAGTGGCAGTGGCAATGTGCTATGCACATAGGAGTCTGGGTACTGCATGATGTTTGTAATTCTAAATTCCCTGTAGTATAAGTAGGATGGTTCCAGTAGGTAGAAGCTAAGTTTTGAGCCTCTGAGTTCCCATGCACGTGCTGAAGGTGGTACTGTGATAAAGGATCAGTTTGTGACTTCAAGCTTTGCATAGAATTAGCGAGCTCACTCAGAGAAATATGAAATACCCTTTTGATAAGACTTTTGAGAACTTAGTCAGAGTGAATATGAATCAGTGATGCTGTTTCTGTTCTGTTAAGTGTGATAAGTAGGTTTATATGATGTCTAGCGATGGTCTGTGGCCTGTGACCGGAATGTGACAGGGATGACAGGGAAGGCAAACAGGTCCTGCTGAGATGCCGAGACCAAGGTGGCATGGCAATGTGCTTATGTGAGATACGCATGACCCCCAAGACACACCCCAATGCCACACGCGACGCGACGTGAACCCGCCCGGAACGCAATCGACAGACTGGACTGACTGGAGAGAGAGAGGAGAGAGAGAGAGGACGGATGTGAAACACGAGAAAATAAGGTATAGAGAGAGAGAGACAATAAAAGGGAATGCGAGGAAAAAAAGGGAACGCATGTAGTATTAGTATGGACTATGGAATGAACGAACTCGACTGTACAGTACAATGTGAGAGAAAGGGAATGAAGAACTCATGAATCAGGCCAAAAAAACCGAGGTGCCATGAGGTAAAGGTAAAAACTGCAGAAAGAGTGAGTGAGTGGGACAAGCAAAGGGCAAGTGAATGAACAAAGTAATGCGAAGCCAAATGCTCTTTATACCATACCCTGCTACTGTACTGCTACCCTGGAGTGTGAGTGTGTGTTGTTGGATCTGGTACCCTGGTACCCTCTACCCTGGAGTGTATCTAGGGGATCTGCCATACATAGCTCAAAAATGTCTTTGATTTTCTCGGACCGCACCTGAAATGTCTTTATGTGCACTTCCTATGCTTCCAAACCACTGTCAGTCCCTGCCAAAGAAGATTGGAAGTTCTCTCGAGCCTGAAAAATGACGTTCACTACACCTCCACAAGACGTTCAGCCCAGCCTTGTGTCCTGTTGATGTCGTATTATATTTCGGTCATGTAGGTTCCTTCCCACCCTGACACCCTGACTGCCTGAGGTACAGTGACAATTTCTTTTTCACGTCCGCCACTTACAGTCCCAATCACTCTTGTGTGGTGTGTGTACAGTTCAGTTGTTTTTCAATCAATTTATTTATTTTGAATGTCTGTACATTACATCAAGAATACAAGAAGTGCATAAAATTTATTCAATGTGATTTATCTGCTGGCTTATGGCGGGGGAGCACTGGAGGTCGACCAAAGAAGTCAAAGAATGTCTGTGCATAATGCATGGCCAAAGCCTTCTCCACAGTTAAGCCACCTTCCGTTTCTGTTGGACCCATCAAGCCCTTGCACTCCATAGGCAATGGAACTGACCAGCCTTGCATTAGGTCCCATAGATTGCGGAGTCGTTCTCGTTGTTTCTCCCATTCGCCGCCAAATCCATCATCATCCAATAGCTCTCCTGCTGGTGGAATCAGTGAATTCCCAGAAAAGACCACCAAGATCGCATTCTGACAGTTAGAATTGGAATCATTGATAGCACCCATAGCAGTGGTGACTTCCATGAGTACCTCTGCCGCACAAAACACACGATGATCCAGAGCTAGAAGCTCATAACGGAAGTTAAGCTTGCAGAGCTCCCAAATGAGCTGATGACCACGTAGGACATTGAATGGCTGCTCATCAGAGGAGGATGGTGGTGGCACCAGCTGTACCTGGACTTCTTGGCCTTGCATGCACAAACCTAGCATCTTCTCAGCCACTTCAAAGGCCTTAATGGATGGAGAATGCGTTGATTTGCTTGAACTAGCATTACCATCAGCATGTTTGAGGGAAAGAGCCAACACATCTCACCATTGCTGAGGGCAGAGTGGTACTGCATCAGAGCCGATAGCAGTTGCCTGGAACTTGAGTGCATCAAGACAGTGGTCAAGTTGCCGAAGGTATGCCTTTTGTCATATCGGTTTTGCATTGGTTATCAGCGCTGGTCCTGGAAACATGTAAGTTTCGGTAACCGGCTCGGGGAATGATGCTGTCGCACGTTCAGATCTTTCATTGATCGACATTAATGCTGTCGACCAAGCAGGGAGAGCAGGAGGGGCATAATCACCACCGATGTCATTGAACCTATCTCAGCTCATATCTGTTCTGCCATGAGTATACAATGGATTGATAAAAAGAAGCCATGGCTCACAGCATGTTTTTTTTCAGGCGCGAGGATTGAAAAGACAGATTTGAACAATGGGAAATATTGCGCTCCAGGCATATGGGTCCAATGCTCGAAGATTTGGCTGCCGATGCAGACGAAGTATCAGTCTCGACAGAACGAATGGTACAGAAGTTGAAAGGATCACAATATCCCTGGAAAAGGTGTAGACATTGATGTTGGGCTACATATTTCCGAGGATCTGATGGTTTTCCAGTGAATACAGTAGGATATGTTCGCTTGGGATGTTTGGAACAGATATTGGGTGAGGACAGGTCGACAGCCTGCAATATTACTTGATTAGCAAAAGAATCGAGAGGATGGACAAAGAACACAGGTATCTGGGCTTTGAAAAAGAGCTGTACAGTGCCTACATCCCAAGTGAATGCTCCAATCCGATATTCAGATCTGTGGGCTGGGTCCAAGGACTTAATGCCATCCATGACTGGCTTGCACCAACCCATGTAGTCCAATGCAGCAACGATCTCAAGCCAGAATCGCTGAGCAGTCGTGACTAGAACTTGAATAGTGAAAGTATCCATCGCAACATGCCCTAGGCGGTCGAGTACCGCTTGCAAACAGGAAAGTAGTATGGTGAGCAAATCACGGTAGTCTGATGATTTCATCCTATCTGCTAGAACATCCTGACAACGACCATCAATGTGATTGAAGGCATGGAATAATTGGTCGCACCATGGTCGTTTCAACAAGCCTATTCCTTGGATGGATCCAGTCATCCATTCGATATCATTGTTGCCATCTATGTCGTCCCACATATATGTGAACTCCTGGTAAGGATGGCTGACTGTGAGCGAAGTAGGCCAGTGCGGGATGAGAGGGAGGTGGCAGTACGCTTCTTCATAGTACTGTGGGGTGCAGCCATAGTCATGGTCTCCAAAGTGACCATCAGCATACAGGCGAACTTCGTTGGTGGTTGAAGGTGAAGGAATGAACTTTGAAGTCGGCGACGTGATGAAGAACTGGGGGTCTGGGAAGAGAGCTCCTACGAGACCATCGTTGAAGGATATGGATCCTGTAGCATGTGTGAGATGTGGGTTTTCTATGAGAGCACAAGATTACCTACCAGAAAACATGCGTGAATTCTTCAGCAAATCATCCTTTCGAAAGGCATGGACAACATTCATTTTGCTAGAGGGGCTCTTGGAGGAGGAAGGGATATAGTGGTGCAACTGTCTTTACACCAGTAGTAGAAACAGAGGAAAATGTCAAGTGCACCAGTGCACTCGACGCGAGAATCAGAAACACCAAGAGTTTCTGTTGTCATTGTAGGCTGCTGTAGTTCTGAAAATTTGACAAAGGAAATTTGAGCTGAGAAAAGAGTTAGTTCAAAATGGAAAACGAAAAAAAAGATTTGAGTACTCACCGAGACTTTGAGGAGAGAGAGTGCAAAGGCAAAAACGCGAGGAGGGACTTTGGCATTATTTTGTTGACCACCTTCCTTTCTGGGCTGCCAGTGCCAGTACCGATTTCCTCTTGCAGTCATGTCCCTTCCTCGCTCGCAACATTCTGTCCTAAATGCCCTCTATCCTCAACCTCAGGTTCAAGGTCAGTGCTCGTTGTCATTGCCATTGTCATTGACATGCTCATTTACCATTTTTCCTCTTTTTCTTGCCGTTGTCAGCCATTCTGCAGGGTAACGAGTTTCATGGCATTCAGTAATCTTAACGATAGTGAGTCTCTCACCAAGACCTGGAAGGTACGCTTTTCTTCTTGGCCTGCATGAAGGTAAGCTCAGCATTGCGTAGGTCTGCACAAAGGTAGCCAGGTACCTCAAGCAGGGACAGCGTCTCGAGAATCTCAGTTGGTGGCTATAGCACCCCCAGATTCTTATGGTCGACACGACAATGCCAAGTCCAAGCGGGAGTTCAAGAAGCTTTCGAAATGTATGGGCGACAAGCTGGACAAGGAGAAGGGAAGGTATGTTGCACCTATCACCTGTTTTCTTTGACTGTTGCCTTACCGACCCTCTGTAGCAGCATTGAGGAGCTCGCAGCCCCAGTCTTCAAGTCCAGCCATTTGATAGAAATCTTCTGCCAGCGGGTGGAAGAGAAGGAGTGCAGTCGAGAAGCGAGTCAGAACGCGAAACCAGGCACCATTAAGCGCATGCAGCTCACCTTCAGCATTGACCAGCCTCCGCCTGTCACTGGAGCTCTCTGTACATGTCCCCGATAACCTTATGTGCCGAATTGCCGCCCTCTTCCACCAACAAAACCCCAGCCATCAAGCGAGCTCTCAATGCCCAGGGCAACTCAATCTTGGCATGAGACAATGCATTTTTGCCCAGGGAGTAGTATCTTGGGTCCTTAGAGGCAACACCATGCTCGTCGCTGATGGGAAACGAGGTTTATGGTGTGGAGGAAGACCCTGTGGACATCCCAAGTGAGTGTTTTCACATGCCAAGTGATGTGCACATCCTGACCTTCCTAGCACAGTGTTCCCTCCCTCCACTATCCTTGCGGTGACGAGTCGACGGTCCATCCAACTAGCAGCCCACAACAATGATGTCTCTGCCATCCCGAGTTTGCTTCAAGACAACGTATCGCCATCTGGCGAGCAAGCCTATGAGGCCAATAAGTTGTACTGTTACACTCGATGAGGAAGGGAAATGTGACCATTTGCAGGAGGTGTTGGAAGCACGGGAAGAGACTTATAAAAATGAGGGTAGGTTCTCTTTCTCGCTGATAGTCAGGGGTACTCACAGCGATCCAGATCTGTTGCCTCTTGATCAACGCAACCTTCAATGACATGCCGGCTAATGGTGAGGATCTCAAGTTTGCGCTGAGACAATGTATTCGGTGAGCAGGACCTGTATGAGAGTGAAATGGAGGTAGCAGGGACCATGAAGCAGCAGGAGACGTGCCAGAAATGGGTAAGTACCTCCCTTTTACTTGCATTTTTGGGTGCTTACCAATCTGTAGACCTATCTCAGGCAATTTTGCCTCGAGGCAATGTATCTTCATCCAGCGAGCAGACCCTTGAGGCGACAATGGCGGGAATGAGAGGGAGGATGGTGGCAGACCCATTGGGAATGGGCAGGTCACCTTCTGTTCACTTCACATGTGCACATATTAACCCCATCCTTAGCACGATCACTCTGGTATCTATCCACGCAACTCTCTCCTCAAAACCACGACCTCAAGCACCCCAAACCGGACCAAATGATGTATTGAGCCCCATCAAATATGAGCTTGGGTACGGTTGACTGGATTTGGTGCAAGGCATTTATTGCAGGAGTGCATTTCAGGCCCTTCAAATTTTAAAGAAGGTACATTTATCTCTAGTCCCTTGCTTAGACTTTTCGCTAAGTACTATTTGATACTAGAATCAATAAATGACGTGGGCATGAACTGTGGGCTCAGACTTCTGGTGTCTGGGTCTAGCATATGGGCTTTTGGTGCCCATGTGCTTCCACTAGCATTCTCCTTCTGGTGGAGATTGCTGTTGGTACAGCTTGTGTTTGTGGGCGCTTTGCTCTCATCCGGGGTCAGAGTTTTGTGTGCCCAGTAAAGTCGACACACTGGCATCTGATACAAGTGTCATGGCGAGACTCCATCCTTTCCCTTATACCACCATCAATGCATTGCCCACATCACTGATGGTCGATACTGTCACATCCCATGAGCTTGACCCGTCGCCATGCACTTCTGTCTATTCTGACAATGATGTCAAGCATGATTTCAGCAACTCGCCGGCCACTTCTACCTATGAGAACCCTGTCCCAGCATCCCCCATTATTAACCTCACCATTAAACCACCACCTCCGCCTTCTCTTTGAACACTGTTCTCTCATATCACCTCGCCGCCACTTTTGCCTCCTTTTTCCGGCTATCATTTCCTTGTTCATCTCAGGCGGCATTGCACCATTTATGACAGTTGTCATTGGTCAGGTTTTCAGTGTATTTGCCACCTATCCAAAGTCGAACTCTTCTCAGGAAGCCAAAGATACCCTCATGCACAGTGTCGGGATAGGTTCGCTTGAGCTGATTGGCCTGGCCATAGATTCATTGGCCTTAGAAGTCTTACTTCTGGCCTGTGTATCCCTACAGGTGAACACAATGTCATGAATCTTCGGAAACATGTCTATTTGGCCATCACATCGAAGAACATGACATGGTTTGACACGAAGATGGGTTCAGAGAGCACTGTTCAGTCTACAGATAACAAACAAGGTCCAGTTTGGGCTGGAGGGCTTATGGCTAAATTCACCAGGTAAGTATACTCTGAGTATGGGCTTATCCTGATACTTATCATTACTTAGGGAAACAGACGAAGTTCGTATGGCTTCATCTCTTGCCTCAGGAAGAATCATCCAGTATACAACCACCTATGACACATGCTTTGTTCTTGCATTTTCACATTCCTGGGCACTCACGCTCATCATCCTTGCCTCTGTCCCTGCTCTGGTTCTAGTACAAGCCTTCTCCCAAGCAGTAGCCGGTCCTCTCCTTTCTATCGAATGATCCCAAGAATCTGTCGCAGCCATGCTTATTGATCGCACTGTGTCTGCAACTGCTGCTGTCAAAGCGTTCAATGCAGCATCTCGGGAACGTGACTCTCTCTAAGCACTGTTCTCGACCACGTCAAAGTTGCCGACAAAAAACTCGTTGCAGTCTGGGGTTTTATGTCAGGCCTGTTGCAATTCATCATGATGTCCATGTTCATGCAAGCCTTTTGGTTTAGGTTGAAGCTAGTCAAGCAAGGCAAAGTGGAACCAGGGGATGTTATGGCCGTATTTTGGGCTTGCCTCATTGCGACAAGTAATTTGCAGATGTGCATTCCCCAGTTCATCACATTGACAAAGGGAAATTTTGCCATGGTGGCCTTGCTTGCGCTTGCTGGCTCAGAAGAGACAGGTCTTTGACCCCCGTATCTTCATTGTATCATTCCTGTGCATCGATCTTTCATGGTCACCCAGTAAGGTCAACACATTTGCATGGAATCATACTGTCCAAGTGTCATGGTGGAATAGCACTCCATAACATCACCTTCATGTATCTGTCATGACCTTCCATACTGGTCCTGTGAGACGTCTCCATCTATCTTCCCATTTCAGAAACCACTTTTGTTGTAGGTGGCTCCAGATCCAGAAAGTCGACCATTGTGTCCCTTCTCCTCCAGCTGTATAAACCCCGGAGCAGGCAGATAGAGCTTGATGACCAAGATATTGTCTACTTGGACGATAACTGGACGACTGAACACATATCTGTCATTTCCCAAAACTGCATCCTATTCGACATGAGCGTTCATGACAATGTTGCCATGGGACAAGCCGGAAGTGAAACTGGGAGAAAGCCGGAACACCGATGAGGGCAGAAGTCATGCAGGCTTGCCAAGCCACTATGATTCATGATTTCATCCGTGATTTACCTGATGGATACGAGACGAAGCTGGGCAATGGAGGTGCAAACTTGAGCGGTGGTCAGAAACAAAGGCTGGCTATTGCACGAGCACGATTAAGGAATCTTGCTGTGTTAATTCTCAGTGAGTTTCTATCCAACATTTGAATCCTGTCGTGTTCTTATCTTTATTACCAGATGAAGCTATTTCTGCCTTGGATCCCACTTCTTGTGTCTTGGTGTTTGAGGCATCAAGCAATGGCGGAAAAACTGCACCACCATTGTCATCACTCACGACCTGTTGCAGATCACATCGAAGGACTTTGTCTATGTCTTGAAGAATGGTACCATCATTGAGCAAGGCTATCATGCTGACCTTGAGCGATCTGAAGGTGAATTCAAGGCAATGGTGGGCTCCCAAGTAGTTGCAGATGTGTCAACAGTCGACAATGATGAGCACCCAGAATCGGCAACAACGGAGGAGGAAAAGGACTCAGTCTCCTGACCATTCTCGTATGTTCCAACCACCCTGGTGCTGAATAGTGCCATCCTTGGTCACTGGATGTTCAATGTGGTGGTGGACTTGACATCGAAAGACAGTGGACTTATGCCTTTCCGTCCCACTGTCGTTCGATCTCGAGAGTCTCAACGACTTAGTCGCTTTGTTCCTGCTGACACATTCACAGCCCAGCACTTCAGAGAGACAATGATGACCTTCCAGCGTTCAGGTTATCCCTGCATTTCCGCCACCCCCTTCTCAGACTCTCATTACTTATACACCCTGATACAGCCCTCGATTCACACCAACCTTGCCAGCATTCTCTCGCCATTCTGCAACCTCCTTGTTGATCAAGAAGGATAATTCTGCTGTGACAAGATGGAGGTTGACTAGACATTCTCGCATGAGCCAACATAGGGCAACTCTTGTCGACATGTACGGGTTACTGGATCTGGTCATAGATATCAAGGTGGAGAAGAATTTGATATGAAAAGAGTCTACATCTGTCTCCCGACAATGAGCGACCCCATTCTTTTTTGGCTTTAATGAGGGATGTCTATCCGACTGTACCCTACAAGCCGCTCATTGTATTTGGTCTGATCATTTGCTTGTTAGGCGGCACTGTCACACCTATTTTCTCCTTTGTCCTTTCTCGACTTTTCTTTGAGGTTTCTAATGGAGCCAAAAATACCTGTGTCATCAACACCTTTGGTGCCATCATTCTCAGCATCGCAGCTGTGGATGGTCTTCTCATGGGTTTGAAGTACTTTATCATGGAGACCTGTTAGTGTGACTAATACTACTACTACTACTATGATCTGGATTACAGAGTAGTTATTTTAAGTTATGAGGGCTCTCAGACAGCCCCTATAGTAACCTCTTCCTCTTACCATGGGTGTTAAAGGCAGCTGGGATGTACATTACTTTTTCTCCCATGATTTCTATGCTAGTTCTAACATCTTCTTTTGCAGCTTCTGAACCCTGTAAGCCCTGTATCATTCGTCAACTGGTCTTCTTAGAAAATATCTATGGGTACTGTACATGAGCTTGGTCCACGTATAGGTGTAGATGCTAGGTAGTTATATCTAGTGTATTCTACCTATCAAGTCTAACAAGTATTGACTCTTTCTAGTGGATGGATGTGCGCAGCAATGTTCCATCATGGGCAGACGAAGAGCCTGGCCCAAGCATCACTTTTCAAATGACTGGGACATCTGTTTCATCTCCCGGTCATACCTTTATTTGTGTTTGATGGCCCACACCACCCTGCTAATAAGCGTAAAAAGATGGTGAAGAAGATGCCAGTCTGGTTAACCAATGATTTCAAGCGGCTGCTTGAAGGATTTGGGTTCTCCTATTGGGAGGTATGGGCCTCTTCTTTTCATGTCATTTCTCTTCCTGACATGAAACACAGGCTTCAGGCGAAGCAGAGGCTGAGCTTGCGATGCTCTCATGCCTTGGCCAGATTGATGCTGTGATGTCAGAGGACTTCAATATGATGATATTTGGTGCTCAACAAGTGATTCGGATGTGAGTAGCAACAGCTTCTTCACTTTATCAGTGTAATTTCTAAGCATATTCATTAGCAAAGAGGAAAGTGACTCTAAATATTTGATCGAGATTCATGAGGCTGGATCCCAATTCTCCTGCAACAATCTTGTGATGATCGCATTACTTGCAGGGGGTGATTATGATGTAAGTTAAGCCATGTTCTCGGCTGACATAGACTCATCCTTATGTGATAGGATGGAATTCAAGGATGTGGCGTCCGAACTGCAGCTGATATCGCACAGTCGAGTGTCAGAGAATGACTATTTGATGCCCTTGAAGCATCCGAAGTTGATGAGTATGCTGCTGTTGTCTCTGCATGGCATCAGGATCTTTGCACGATGCTGGAAAAGCAGGGAGCTGGCCATCTTCATTCTCGGCACCATTTGCTAGCTTCATGTATCCCACTTGACTTCTCCAAGGTGTCTATTCTCATTCAATATATCCACCCAGTGACATCCCAGTTCAATGGGGCAGATAATCTGCCTGCCGCTCCATCGCTGCGTCAACCGAATATACCCCACCTTGCAAAGCTATGTGAGGAGCTCTTCGTTTGGGGACACTCGATGTGCATCATCCGCAATTTCTGTGATCATGTTTTCCCAGGATTAGCCACCCGTGAGCTGCTTCAAGACCTATGTAAACGATGGGGACTATTGCAAGCCAATGACACTCATATCTCCCAGCATTCCATAGTTTCCAAAGTATGTGCTGTACGTGCAAATCAGCGTGAATGATCACATTCAGAGATCTTTGTATCTCTCATCATTCCCAATGAAATCCTAACTCAGATCACCTCTGCAATTGATGGGACATATGATACCAATACCACATTAGACCAGTTTGATCAGTTTGTGAAGAAACCCGAAGTTCATGTATGGCTCTCTCGCATATTGGCCTTTCATGCGTGGCCAAACATCTTGGACAATATGCAACATCAGACTCTCAAAGCTGGCAAAAAACATAAGATGGTCAAACCACGCATCAAGAAAATGAAGCTCATCGAAGCGGAGCCAAGCCTCGCTCAGCCAGTTGGTATGTCAAGTATCCCTGCCTGTCAAAAATCTCTTACCATAACTTTTACGATACTCTAGCTTTGACTTCCGTCAATCTACCAAACACCAGTCAAGGCTCAGCAAAACAGAACAGGTCTTACTCAGTCTTAGAGATATCTAGTGACGAGAGTGGCGAGGAAATGACAGGCAGGGCTCATTTCAATGTCATGTGTGGCCCATTTCTTACAGTTCTTTTTTCAAGAAGCTGCTCCGAGAAAGCACCAGAAATGTGCCTCATCCCCAAAGTACCAAATCGAAGTTTGCTATTCAGCAAAAGGTGAGATCCTGGAGTTATGCACAGATGACGAGGGCAGATTCTAAATAGGGGCACCTACCCCTCTTCTTCATGTATATATATAGTGTATCATGGACTTTATACCTTGACTTGCTTTTCTCTCCTCCTCTTAGTATCATATGGACATGAATATGACCAACAATATCACAAATGCACCAGGAATTTGCAAGGTCCTGGAGACCCAATTCTCAGATTTAGAGATCATAGATGACATCGAGGGCAAGCAGGAGACTTGTGGTGTTTCCAATGACTATGGTGGTAGTACGCAGATGGACCTGAGTGCATCAGATGATGTTGAGGAGATTTTGGCCAATATTAGTGCAGCATCAAAGGGTGTTCAAGAAGGCACTGCTGCTGCATATGAAGGGTCAACTGCCGTTCCCAGTTTCTGATGTCCCTCGTTATTCTAACATGTTGGCACTTATGCAGGGTCATGACAATGTTCAACAACTTTCTCATCCAGGAGAATATCATCCAGCTGGGCATGAATATATTCCATCCTCAGAAGCTCAACTCAAATATTGACTACTACATTGTTGGGTTCATTATGCAAAAGTATATCTGTGTGTTTGGTCTCTATCATGTCTATCTGACTTGACAAGGTGTGACGATGTCAACATGCATGGCACAAGCAAAGGGCTCAAAGATGCCCAGAGGAGCTACTCACATGCTCAAAAGCTCAGGGCAGGCATCACCTATGGCTTCTGTAAGACTGGTCATCAAGGTAAGGTGCCCTGAGACAGAGCTACGGCACTTGGAAACCCTTCAATCTCTGATCTTGTATCGTCGTACATGCTTGGTCTTCACAAATGCAAGGTATGCTGTAAAACTCATTGGTAATATAAATATGTAGGCTGATGAGAAATGCAGACTGCCAAAGGAGAAACTTCAACTAGCGCTCAAGCCATTGGTCCTGTACGTCTCTGTTGCCAAGTCTGTTATCAAAACCCATTGCATCTTTTGCTTTCTAGGATACTCTGAAGCGGCTCTACATACATAATCATAAGTGTGAAAACTGGGATAATAATCAGCTCTCTTCAGGAAACTGGTGTGGAGGAAACACGCGGTGGCTGCTTCAGGCTATCTACCTTGTAGCATTTACATGCTTACTCTGCATTGATGAGGTGTTGAACATCCAGGCCCATGAGGTCAATCTCTACAAGGATGAAGTTGATGGTACTTCCTGTGCTTCAATCACTCTTCCTTTTCATAAAAATTCACCATTTGGAGGTAAACACATTGAGCTGCTACAGTGCCATTGCCTGCTGACTTATTTTGGATAACAGACATACCTCCGTTTGTATTACGGAAACTGCTAGAACATATGGTGCATCTCTGCCCTGTTCGAGCTCTCAGCATGTGGGTTGCTACTGCGAGGATCAACAAGGGACATCTTTTCCCCAACATCAATAAACGCAACCGTCCCATCACTGCCAAGAATGCTGCAATGGTAAAGTATGGGTTCTACATGAAGTCGTTCATGCTCATTCAGAACTTTATTAGAAACCAGAGGTGTTCCTGCAGCTCTTTCGGAATAACTTGTGGGACTTGGATATCACACCGTATCCCTATGGTACACATTCCTTTCACCGTGGGGGATGCCAGTGGTTCTCATGTGATCTTCATTGGTCAATTCGGCAAATCTGCGAGTGGGGCGGTTGGAGCTCAGACTTCTCATACTTGACAATTGTCAAGTATCTAATTTCATCAAATGACAATCTGACACTTCGTCGTGATGAGTTTGTTAAGCTTGACCGCCAAGTAGTCAAATGCCTGACCTGTGGACGAACTTGCCCATGTGCCTAATTTTAATGTTGTAGTTCTTTTACATCACAAATCAAATAAATGAGAAAGCTGATGATGAGCCTCAAGGCTCTGTATGCTCAGAATTCACAGATTTTAGCATTATAATAAATGCCTTGTCCACTTAGCAGACTTTCACTAAGTCAACAATTGCAATCACGGCAATACCCACTTTTACCGCCAACTATCCATCCCAACTCGTATTCCGCATCAATATGTGCCACTTCATTATTGCTGCCAGGCACCTGATTGCAGATCTCACAGAATTAGGACCATCATTGATCACCTAGCACAGCCATCACTGACATCAGCATCAAGCGTCACTTAATAGAATGCCGCAGCCAAAATACCTATTCCACAGCAAAAGACTTAATACCATGACCTTTCCACTAGCTTTACTAAGGCTGTTATACTGCCAAGAGATTGCTGCAAGCATCTACTTCAGTACACTTGCTTCAATGTACTTTGCCGCAGCAACATAGCAGCTCAAAATTCCGGAGATTGGTGGCATTCTTGCTAATCACTTCATCTATATGCGGTAAATCCATATGGATGCTGTTACTTTTGAACCACAGTACACAGTAAAACCATGTGGGTGCTGTTACTTTAGAACCTTGGGAACATGTGTTTGGCATCATTTCTTACCAATCTATGTACTATGGACTTACTAAGGACTCGCTTCAAGTATTCTAAATTTATTCCGGAATTGTAGTATAAAAGCTAGTATACACCACGGAAAATAGGGAGTTGCTAGACACACAGGTTACTGCACACTAGCCATCATCCACGTTATCGACCACCATTATTGCTTGTATTCGCTAGGAGATAGACAATAACAACATAGTCACTCCAAGTTATACTCTCTGTCACGGCTTTTCTTCTAACGGTATTGGTGTATGCTCATATTGTGCCAATACATGGAATTTGGTGTCCACAACTCACTTTTATCTTTTAATCTGCCAGCATCGTTTCACTTTCACCAGCCAGGATTGTTTTCATCAGTTTTCACCTTCTACATCGCCATCGTTTTACCCAGTTCAGTTCAGGATCATTACGTCCCCGTGTGGACTCAGATTAGGATCGTTATTGCTGCCAGCAGCATCTGTCACGGAATTTCAGTCAACAGCTTCAGTATAGGATCATCAGTCATGGTATTTGGTATCTTGCCATCAGTTTCAGTATAGGATAGTCTCCATGTAGACTCAGGATTAGTATCAGTTTTGTTTTGCCATCGTTAACCTCAGTATAGTTTCAGTTTCAGTCCAGCCCAGTCCCAGCCATCGTTTTGCCGTCACTAGTTCCCCCTCATATCATCACCAGTCCGTCTTATCTTCGTTTTACCACCAGTTTCTCATTTCTCGACTACAGTCTTCGTCTCTTGCCATCACGGTATTTGTTATCTTGCCAACGGTATTGCTCTTTGACAGCATTTTCTCTAATTCCATCAACATCACCCATGGCTTTTACTAGTTAAATTGCTGTCACTTCATTCACGGTTTGCCGGTATTCCCAGTTATACCAGATTCCGTTCCTTCTCATCTATCGAGACCCCTTCCGGCTTACAGCCAACGTTTTCTAGTACTCGATCGTTAAGGGTACTACTTCGCTGACTGAAAAGTCGCAGTGTATACTTGCGTTCTTGAGGAATTCATCGCATGGAGGTGCACCGAAACACTCGCACAACAACAAAGCCTTTATTACCGCTACGCACCATTTGCCGTGAACTCCTCTAGAGTTTTGGTTTTTGCCGTTGCCACGGAAGTTTAGGCTCATCACCGACGTAACATTTCAAAAGTACGACATGAACTATAAACTAGACATCATCATCATCACCACAACTAATTCCCATCTTCTTCTTATACAGTTGGACTATTGCTGGAGCATCCGTCATGGGAGTCAATACCTTTTTTTTTTATACCCGAAGTGATTGATAAAATCGTCACCATACTCCTTCCTCACTTTTTTGGCTAATTTGAAATCCACATCCTTTCGTCGATCCAAAAGAATCTTTTTGATTGGAGAATATTTCAGCCTCTGTCCTTGATAGTCAGAAAACTCAGCCCAGAAGGCTTCAGGCATCTCATATGCCTGATATGCTTCCATAAAATATTGAAGGCAAAGAGTGAGAAAGTGAACAATAGAAAGAAAAGTGGATGTACTTTCCAATACAACCAGTCATTTTTAAGTTTTTCCCATTCATTCCCAGTCTTCTTGTTGCGCTTGTAGAGATCTTTCCAGTACTTGATTGGAATCGGGTGACCATGGATGATGATTGGGTAATCAGCAGATGGGACCCAGTCTGGACTATGATTGTCCCAGCTCCGAATGAGATTTGGGAAATTTGATGCATAGCAGAAAGGTTTGGTCGGTGGAACATCGCCTTGATGAATGGCTAAGGTCTCACCATCAGCAAAGACCAACAAGCACTGGATTGGGTTATGGGCAGTACCATCAGATGATACCAGAGCATTCTCATCGAGTTCAGATGTCGGTGTTTGCATTGTCTGAGCTGGTGGACAGAGCAGCACGAATGGTGAAGTCATCCATGTAGGCTCAAAGGATGGTAGGGTCAGTGAATCTGGTAGGCCTGCATCACCAGAGAAGACTTCAGTAGAATTTGCGGTGAGCCCCATAGCAGTCATGTCAAAATCCATAGAGGGATGGGGAATTTTGGATGATAAGGTTGAAGACAGGGAAAAGGACCCAATGAAGGAGTTTTGATGAGCAGCCAACTGCTCCTCGACAATAGAGGTAACACACTGGACAAAATCTGGGTTTACAAAAGGATCCTAGGCCTTGAAGATGGCTGTTAGGTAGAATTGACATTGAAAATTAAAGACGCATACCATAGGTTGTTGCGCACCATGGTTGTGGATCCTGTTGACCCTCAGCTCTGGAAGATGGGTATGGCGGAGATTCTGCTCACATTCTTCTTCTTCCAATATCTGGGCCACAACATCCTCAGCCTGAAAACCATGATCAATAAACCGAGCCTGACATGATGAAAGGGAACAAAAACAGATGCACCCATGGTATGAAACTGTCTATCTTGGCCTGGCTACAGGTGTCCATGGTAGATCTTTCCATGGGTAAGAGTGCCTCTTGAGGGACGCTTGCTGGTATGCTCACATCATAGATGCGTTGTGCTCGACGTGTCAACTTTCTCTTCATGACACTGCCATCCCTCACCCTCACCCCCTTATGATGAATACACATCGGAGTGAGAAGACTGAGAGGAGATGAGCTCACATCTGTGCTTAGCATGAATGAACCTACTTCACCTTCCACCTTTCCATCCTGGCTTGACTAAACTCCACAAGCCGCTCTCATTGTGTCGTTTTGTTGCCTGCATGTCTGAGTCTGAAATGTTGGCAAAGTTCAACAAACCAAGGGTTCATGTGTTTTGGAGACCTGGAGAGAGAATGGAGAATGGCATCAGTCAAAACAATGCCAATATATTCAAGTAGCAACATACAGGTTGATTTCCTCTGTTTGAAAGTTGCCATTTTCATCAAGCCAATCTCCATCCACATGATGAGGGAAAACATATGGCTGCTGCTCTGGTGGCAGCATGGCTGGGGGCAGCAGAAATTCCATGATAAGTCCGAGTGTGTTGATGGATGCATGTTGCTGCTGTTTGAATAAGTCGCCTCCTCCTAATGAAAGCAAAAAAGAGGAAAGTGAGGACGACGATGCTGACACAGGACCCTGCCGGACAAGCGACAAGACTCAGGCCATGATTGGTGGCACTGTCGTTATCCTCCCTAGCAAAGTGTCCGATTTTAGTCAGGGATATGTGAGATGAACAAAGAGGATGGAAAGGGGATGGAAAGGGGAGAGAAAGGAAAACAGGAAGGGAGCCCAAAGTCCAAAAACAAAAAGAAAGAGAGGAGCGAGCGAGAAAAACCAAGCATCCGAACAAACAGGAAAGCACTGCACTGACATATGGGCGCCAGTAGCCCATATGTGGTGGGAGGAGGATCTCAGACACCAAGAGTCTGAGACGCCGATGTGCCCCTGTGCCCCCATGGAGGCAGTGGGGGAGGGAGCCAAACAGACTGTTGAGATGGTCGCAGAGGATGGGAAATGTCTGTGCAGCTGTGATGCACCATTGATCCCGGGAGTTGCCACATGATGGAACTGTCATTACTCAGAGAGAAGTCAGTTCAGAGAATGTGTTGAAGTGGAAATCTGAGATCTGTTCTGTTCTGTTCTGTTCTGTTCTGTTTCAGTCTGTTCTGTGTCAGTTCTGTTTGAAGTTCCATTTCTGAATCTGTTTCCAAGTGCTTCTGAAGTGTTCTTGAGTCGAGATAACCTGCTGGAGTTAGTTGGAGAATCCCTACATACAGTTGTGTAGCAAGCGGGCTAAGTCAGTGCTTGCCTGTGGTGTTCTTTTAGCAAGCTCACTATTGTTTCAATGTGTATCGTCTCTGTTTCTGTCGGGATCAGTGTCCCTTGTGTATTTTAACTTGAATCTGCCTTGAAGGTTGCATCATGCCAGTGAACGACCTTCCTGTAAAAGTTCCTAGACTTAGGAATTCGTTAGAGAGAGCTTAGCTTTGCTGAGAGCATCGAGAATAAGAGAAACTCTTTGAGATATTGAAGTATAGTTGGATTGCATTAGAAATAATCACTCCCCCTAGAACTTTCAAGGGTGATTGTAGTTTGTGTAGTTGTGTGAGTGTGTGTGTGGGTTTTTGAGGTTCACCTTTTAGCCCACTCACTATTCCACAGGTACCTACAGCCAGCCTCTTCACCATAGATAATACTTGACATATACCTTCTCAGCCTTCTTTCAGGGTGACAAACTATCACAGTAGTACATATATAAGATACTCTTGAAGTCTTATTCACTGCTATGATGTTCACATTGTTTTAGCGATAATTTAACCAGTCTAATGTCACCTCTCACCGAAATAGCATTACTGGAGCCATTCACTCCTTCTTCACAGCCTGAAAATCATTTTTCTGGTCTTCTACTCTCTGAAGGATACCCAACTTCTCTGCATGACCTGCATACAATAAGTCCTAAGCTCACCTTTCCAATATCACCACCATTGACAGATGGATTGCTGTCACCAAATATCTTGACTATTGAAGGACCAGAGACAATGCTAAATCATGCAGATGACTCTCCTGGGAGTTTCCATTCCTGATCCTCATCTCCAAATGATATCTCATCTCCTGTAGCAGCAGTCAAGACCCCAGATACAAAGTCAACATTTCAGTCCTATGTTCATGTGGAAAAGGCAAAGTCTGCAGTTGCTTTCCTTCAGGACCTGAACCTGTCTCCTTTTGATCTTCTTCTAACTCTTCTGGACCCTACAAACTCCTGCTTCTTGCTGTACCAGAATGGTTTCTACTGAAAAGACTCACATAAACTGTCCAGTCTCTTGTCAATGATATACTCGCACTCTAAAGGAAAGCCTGGCTTGTTGGAATGGATGCCATCCACCCTGGTACTAGAAACATTTTGCAAGAGTGTATCTGAGGATGTTGAGCAGGCAAAGCACCATTTCATGATGACTATGGGTGAAGTGGCTCCCAAATTTTTGGCAACTTTTGATCTTGAGTTGGACATTGGAGCATATGCTGACACCAATATGCCCAATTGGATGGCTGTGGACTACTCACTTTTCATCATCATTGAGAAGAATTAGAAAAGCCATGACATGAGTTTTGCCAGCACCTGTGCCTGGCCTGCAATGAGAAGAGAATCTTGTTCTACTGCAGATAGCACTGCTTGGAACTGTAGTTCTCTGGGAAATTTGGTCCTATGCATAGAGTACCAGGCCAATAGGCAGAGTCAAAATGCAGTAGTGCGATCCTGGTCATTAATGATGCAAAAAAATATTATGACTTCACCCTTATTTTCCTTATCTTATCTTATCCCTATCTCTCAGAACCCCGGACCTACCTATCTTATCTTTCAGACCCATGATATTCCGCTGGCACATCCCCTACCCATTTACCTGGTTGCCATCAACCCAATTTACAGCTGCCATACCCTGGATGACCAATGACCCTCATACACCATCATGCTTCTCTTGATGGCATCATACTTCTTAGTGGTTGGGCCCAAGTTGACTGCTGGTCAAGAGCAGTCTATGGGATGTGGCCTATTCAGATAGAGTCCCATGCAGATGCAGGTTGATATGCACTCTTTACTCTCATTCATTGGGAGTGCACTTCTTTTAGTGTCCTCACTCCTCATTCGTTAGCAGGTGCACTTCTCACTGCATATGCTCTTGTAGGTACTATTCTTAGTACAAGTCTAACATGTATTTAAGCTAGCCTATGCTGTGGCCTTAGACCCCAGCTTTGGCTAAGGTTATATACTCCTAACTCTTACAAGCTCCCTGCTTTTGCTATCTAAAAGTGATGCCTAACTTCTTGCAATCTACCAAATGTCTCTCTAACACTGAATCACTGAACACGAGTGATAGGATAGAGATCAGCCTTGGCTCAGATTAGAGTTAGTGCTTAACAAAAAAGTAGATGAAGGAAGCAGCTCTGTGGGTATATGTTGAATTTGAGCCTCAAGATCATCATAGAGAGCATTTCTGATGGTTCTGAGGGACTCTAAATGTCTGTGCCATGATCAGCACAAGTTTTACCAAGCCCTCTAATGAGGTTCTCCTTGTTAGAGGGCTTGGTTATCAGGCTAGGTCCTGATAGACTGAAAACTCTGTCAGGGGAGGTATAATTCCCCTGCTATGCTATGCATGGCATACAAGCATGAATTGTATGATATTATTTGCCATCACTGCTGTAGCAGGAGAAAAACTGCTCCTGCTTGGGTGAGATTTGCTTTTTGTTCATTTAAAAGGATGCATATTCTTGGAATGAATACATGCCAAGCATTTAGGCTATACAACCTATCATTTCACAACTTTGAGAACATGCAACCATGAGCAGCAGCTACCAGACAGGGCTGCTCACTCTGAGACATCAAGATAATCTTGCACATATGATGCACTCACAGATAAATTAAGGCCTTTGATGAGCTCAAACATTCAGAAATACATTATGAACTTCTATAGATACCCCTGCTGAGCTGAAGAGATGAAGGTGAGGCAAGCACAACTGCATAAGCTGCCTTGATGCTCATACAGGGAATTAATTAATTCAAACTCCAACATCTGAATTATTCTAGGACTTATTTGTACATAGTTAGGTCCTATTTAGGTCCAGTTTGGCCTACACCCATAAATCAACTGTCACCTCAAGCAGATAATGCAGATAACATAATGTCAGGATGAGGCAGTAAAAGTCCAGGGGCATAATGCCTTGAGTCAATTGATCAGGGTATGAAGACAGAGTATCATAGGGATCTCACCAGTCTCAGCATGCAAGAAGCTGACACCTGTCTTGGGATGAACACCCAGCAAGTGACAGAAATGTCAATGAGACTTGGCAAAGCACCTTCAATACACAAGGATCATCAAGTACAGATCCACTTTTACCATGTATAAGACAAGACCTTCTTTGACTGGCAGGGAACCAACATGGTTCTTGATGCAAGAGAATATAGCATCCTTTGTAAGGCATGCTTGCTTCACCTTCACTCTGTAATGTTTGTTGTACATATATGGGCATGACAAATTGAAGCGAATGCTGATGAAGTTATACTCAGTTGCATACAAAAGGGCTTGATTTATGACAAGTACATGTGGTATGGCATCAGGGAGAAGCATGAGAGAGGTCCAGATATGTGATTTCAGGACTGAGATTGTCATGAAGTTGTTGCAGCACCAAGAATTCAGATAGTTGAGAGCATGCTGGAGCCTCTGTGGTGAAAACAACATCAAGACAATGTCATCAGCATGCTCAATATGAGAGATGTGGACCTCCTCCCAGATCACATTGTCAGGATGATCTGGCACAATGAAGTCAGAGAAGTAAATATTCCACAGAGAAGGAGACAAAGTGTCTCTAGGGATGCCCACTGTACCTATATATAGGTATAGCCATAAGGTTTACAGTGATCTGACAGGTATGAGTCACCTGTATCTGTACCATATCCACCACATCAAGCAGGCTCGACAGTATGGTATACAGTATAGCCATAATATGGGTGTACAGTACATACGGCCACAAAGGGCAACCATTGGCATCAATTCATACCTGGAGATATGCTTAGCTGTTAAGCACTAACTCTAATCTGAACCAAAGCATGATTGTTAGTGACCAATTAATCCAAACAATAACAAATAAGCCCAGTCACTCACGTTCGGTGATTCTGGGTCTGTTGCCTTGCAGGACTAGCCACTAAGTTCTAGTTTGCGAAGAGTGAGCAATCACTGCTGTGGTAAGCCGGTATTTTGAGGGGGTCAAATACCTTTGTGTTTTTTGCACTGTATTTTAGTCGCAAATCCACCTGAGAAAAGATTGAGCCAAAACCTGACTGTTTTTGGAAAGAATTTACCTAAGAGGATTTCGGGGGTAAATCCCACTCAAAAAATGATGTGTATTTTGATCTGTATTTGGAAGGAAAGTTTTGGCATACAAAGACAGATAAAAATATGGACTGTCTTTGTTCTGGGATTTACATAAGGGATTTGTTGGGGATTTGGGCTCCAAATCCCAAACAAATA